CTGGTACAGGGGGTACAAAGGTGTGCCTGCCCGATGGTCATGGGCCTAGCATTACGAAGATTAATCTGGTGGAGTGACACATACACTACACAAATAAATACATAAAAATAGAATTATAAAGTTATGTTGCAAGCAATTCTGGATAAATTTAGTCAAGTGCCTATGCAGTAAAAAAAATTGATTTAAAAAAAGGTTGAAACTCAGGGGTTTCTCTAAATGTGAGTTTCATTCTTCATTTTTTAACTAGTGACTCCTAAAAGGTCAATGATCTATGACAACTTCCCTTTCATCTTCTTTCTCCCACATCTCCGATCACCTTCTGGAGTTGCAGACCTGCTGCTCTTTGTGTTTCTAGATGACTTCCCCTCCATGCTGGCACCCTGTTTCAATTTTCAGCCAGAACTAGTGTTATGAATCCAGTTTGTATATTTTTATCCCACATTAAGAGTCTCATAACATCTCAAGTTTATTCAAAACTTGTAGTGGAAATCTTTAAAAGTACTTTTAAAAATACTGTAAAAACCGGCTGAGTGGCTCAGTTGGTTAAGAGCTCACTCAAAGGTTTGAGCTCTGAGCAACAGCAGTTCGATTCCTGGCCCGAGCTGAGCTGCCACTGAGCTGCCAACAGGTGGCAGGATGGCTCAGCTAAAAAAAAAAAAATACTGTAAAAGAGAAAATTTGTCTTTACTTGTCAATTATTTTACAACATGTTTAGTTAATCAATATGCATTAAGTATTACTATATTCTATAGTATTATGATGGAGGTAAAATTGTTACATGTTTTATACTTTAAAGGAGGTTCAAATCTAGTGGAGGAGCTGAGAAAAATGGTATTATTCTATGAGTGTAAAGTCAGGCAGTTAATAACATTTACCTAGAACAGATCACTGTCCTGGGCTGTGTAGAGGGCTGGGGGCTGGGGAAAAAAAAAAAAAGAGAGAGAGAGATAAGGAAAAAAAAAAACACAAACAAAAACAAAACTTTCCGGAAACTAGTAGTGAGATCATGCTTTCTGACAGCTTGGTACTTGTTCGGTACTATTAAACTCCTGTCTGCTAATATATTGGAAACTAGAGTAATAGACGCTGCTCTTTGCTTTGACCCAACCAACTGCAAAAAGTTAATCCTGGTCTGGCTGAGTGGCTCAGTGGTTAAGAGCTTGCTCAAGAGTTTGAGCTCTGAGCAACAGTGGTTCGAGTCCCGGCCCGAACTGAGCTGCCAAAAGTTGGCAGGATGGCTCAGAAAAAAAAAAAAAAGTTAATCCAACATTAATCTTTCTTTAGCAAGCCATCTTTGGGAGCTTTAGATTATTACAATATATTGAAGGAACATTTCATCTTACACAAGTATTCTATTTTTACCATTTCTTAAAATCAGAGCAACCTAGAAAAAGTTATTTCCACAAACTCATTACTTATTGCTAACTTGACAAGTTCAGCTTGTATCTGGTGTAAAGTATATGTTTTCAAAACTAAATTTATTATCTTGACACTTGCTCTTGGCATAATGAAAGGAAAGCTTATAGCTTCAAATATAAGGTCTACATATTACCACATTATGAGATTAGGATGCCAGAGGGACTAGGAAAGTGATAAAGAAATCAAAGACATTTTGTTATCTGGTTATTAAAATTATGAATTTAAGGAAATCTGAATATAGGAGGCCCAAGTATAAAGAATATATGAAATGTAGATCCTAAGTATGATGCCTCTTTTCCAATATCTTACACCTAAGCAAAATATGTACGAGCATAGTCATGTTAAATTTGCAAAGCATCCTAGCTTTGACATTTTCTAAGAATTTGTCTCCTAAAAACTGTGAAATCATAAGGCCAGCGACATCAGTAGAAAACTTTAGGTGAGCATGAGTATAATGACACTTAAAACTGATTAGGTCACAGTGACAAGAACAAGAAAACCATCAAAAGTGTCATGTGAACTTCGTGAAACAGAAAATGTTTTGTACAAAAGTGTGAGGTTATACAATACATTAAAGTAGCCATTGTTGTTAGCAATAACTTTCATTGATTTTCTTTCATGCATGACCAGAAGTATGCTAATAAATGTATGCATTATATACATAACAAAAAAGATTGCTTTTGCTTTTCCAAAGAGCAAATAATGGCAATGCCTGATTAGATTCACGCACACAATGTGAGGGTACAGGAACCAGGGAGTCATGGTGTGGATACTAAACAGAAGGCAGTGCAGTACCCACATTTCCCAGGGAGATGGTTATTCTCCGTGTTTCTCTCACACCCATTCCAGGGCCAGAACCCCACTTAAACCCCACTACCCATCAGTAGGAACCAGTCTTTCCATCCCTCCTACTTCCCACTTTTTGGTTGAGAGGGGCACTTGGGCAATGGAACACACATTCCTGTTCAGAATGCAAATAATTAGGTTTCAGGTGTGCACACTGAGATAAAGCACAACTTTTAACTTAAACTGGTGGGGATTTTTTTAATTTTTTAAAATGATGGAAACATTAAGAAAGTCAGAACCTGTGCCACTCTCCTCTTGATCGCCATGACAGGCAGGAATCGTGAACAAATCAAGCTACTTTTATTCTCAAATTATCCTCTGAGCATTTGTCTTCCTGAACCCCACAATCTGTCTTGATCCCATCACTTTTTGACTCCTAGATGATCACAATCCCATGCATATCCACTCTGTCTCCATCGTCTCTAATCTCTCTCTTTCCTCTGTCTCTCTGTCGTCATTTTTAAACACACATAACACTTTTCTAACACCAATTACCGTTCTCGTGATCTCATTGCCCTCTCCAGCAGGCACTGTTTTTCATTTTCTTTGACACTAAAGTGGCCTACACATACTTTCTCCATGTTTTTACCGCCCACTCCCTTCTTAATTTTTTGCAAAGTGGTTTCTAGCCCTGTCTCCCCTCCCCACCCAAATACTGTTTCTTCAAGTTAAAAAGGATCTCTTTTCTTTATTCTGTTTGATCTCCATACCAGATCTCTCTAAAGAGTTCTTGACATAATCTTGTCCCTTGCCATCTACAACTTGATATTATTTATTTTGTTCTCCTTTTCTGATGCCTCTTTCTTATTTTTTATCTCTTGGTCACAACATTTTCATTCTTCTACCTTCCAGCTGTGGCCATTATCCAGGGCTCAGTCCTTGCTTCTCTGATCTTTTTCTTTTCTAAACTAGAGGGTTTTGAACTGTGTTCCTCAGTTTGAAGTTCCTAAAAAGCTGTCCCTGAGGGTTCAGAGAATCGCTGGAAGGATGGGCAGCTGGTGCCTTGCCACCACTTCAAACAGAATAGTTCCACTTTTACCAGTTTTTCTTGTTCCGCAGTGTTTCTTTTGGAGAGCTTATTTGTATTCATCAGTGGACTGAAAATTACATTACAGTCATCAACCCTGAGTCTAATTTCTTATTTATCACTATCTATGTGACTTTGGACAAATGTTTCAAAGCATTCATGAATTTCTTGCATCCAGGTCTATATCTTTCCCTCCATCTGAACCACTCTCCTACCCTATTTCTCAGCACCTTCCTAACTCCTACTGATTTTTTGGTTTTCTATGCCACTTCCTCCAGGAAGTCTTCTCTGAACCCCAAATCTAGGTTAGGTGCTCTTCTGATGTGGTACCATGGCAATCTGTGCCAATCCCTCAACACAGCACTTATTTCATTGTGTTGTCTGTTTGTCTACGTTCCCTATTAAATAAACAGAAAGCTCATTGAGAACAGAATATTATTTATACCTAGCATAGTGTCTAGCATACAGTAGGTTTCAAAATCCAAGCAGAGATAAGTATAAATCCCACCAAGGATATCCAAATTAGGGGATGTTACTCATTTTTCAACTGAAGATAAGTGAAAAGCCAAGTATCACTGTTACCCCTCATTCTAATTAAACTGCTCTTCCATCTGCCTGCTTTCTGAGTGTCCCTGACACCTCCTTCATCCCCTTCTCAGCCCTCTTCAAAACACCCTCACTATTTGCTTTTATTGGGAAAGTTATTTCATGTTTCTGCTCTGATTTTGCTTGTCCAAAAACAGAGGTGTACTATTGAAAGCTATCTGTAAAGACCAAAAAAAAGGCAAGTACTAAAAATCATGTTATTTTCAACGCTTCATTACATCAATCTGAACACAATTCTAACATTGCACTATTTTGGTCTAATTTCAATAATTTCAACTTCTAATGAAAAATGATAAATCTTCAAAGGATTTGAGGCCATATCTAAGCATTTTATAAGAGCACTGGTGTTTGATACAGAGGTTACAACTGCCTCCTAAGGAACAAATTCTGTCAAATATTTGCTGTATAAAAATGTATAGATAAGTGCAACAAAAATATTCTAATATTAAATCAAAGAAAGGAGTAATGTAATATCCTCTGCAAATACAGCCTTAGAGAAATTCCAAGCTAGAAAGAGCAGTGGGTGCAATCCTAAACTGTAATATCAGCTTCAAGAGGCAGTACCTGAATACTTCCGTCAGAAATGTCCTAAGTTCCAAAAGCAAGATTACACTTCAATTCAGTGGTTTTTGTTTATATTTTTTACATATTTTCAAACATCAAGCTAATACAATTTAGACCCAATAAGTCTCTTTTATCTGGTTGCTCTAAACCTGAGATCTTACATTTTCACTGTTTCTTTGAATTACAGTAAGTTGAAAAAGGCTCTAAAGGAAGACCAAATTCATATCTATTTTGCAAAAACAAAATCCCTGTATAGTAAAATTGATCTTGGTTCACTGTCTACTTAATAGGGAAATCCTGACAAACAACTCCAAAAAAAGATATTCTTGGCAGTATTGTTATATTAAGAACTCAAGTATCAAAAGAGTGGCTGATTAGATTACTTTTAAAATCCTGTTCAACTCTGAGAGTCTAGGATTTAGGTCATGAATCCATTTAAGGCACTCTATCTGCTGAGTAAGTTCCTCATATTTCTTATAACAATAGCAATATTTGTAAAAAGAAAGGCCCCACAGCCAACAGGGGAAATAGTACTTACGAGTATTGTGTCAGCAGTTCCAAATCATTATGCATGTTGATTGGATATGCTTCACTGAGTTCAAACAACTTCTCTAGGGCTTCATAAATGAAAATGATGCAAATAAGTGAAGCAAAAGCTTCTTCAGTAAACCGGGTGATGTAGCAGACGAGGGAGCTTGCATCAGTGGCCACAAGTATGATGCACAGGGTTGCAGTCCAAAGTCCGATACTAGCCCTTAAAGACAGGTATGACAGCTCATATTCTCTAGGAGCAGGAAAAGAACAGGAGGAAGGTCATTTAACAGCTTGCCACCGTTTTAAACAGATGGAAATAAGGTAAATCAGCTTCACATCTCATGAATATCTAAACTCAAGAACTTTTTCTAAAGGGAACATCTAAGGGGAAAAAGGGAGTGCTCAGTGTTGAGAGCTGAATATAATTTTTTACGTATATGAAAAAACATTTATACAAATCTTTTACTTTTCCTTTATTTCCATTGGGAGACAAACATGGCATACTGGATCAAATCAGCCACTGCCACCTCTCCCAGTGGATCTCCAAATGTGATGCTGGAAGAAGTATAAATACAGGAGGGAAAGAGAAAGGGGCTAAGGGCCAAAAGTATGTAACACTTACTTGCAAAATTTAAACAAAATCTTTTCAAACACCAAAACAGGTCCTGTACTGCCTAATATGGTAAGAGGCTGTCCACCAAAGAGAGAATAGGCTATACCAGTCATGGATGCACCGAAGAGAGATTCGATTGCACTCTGTGTAGAGATATAAATGATTCCATTAGCTAAGCTGTACAGGCGGCCATAATAACTAGGGAGAAAACGCTTAAAATACATGGGTATATTCTTTTTCCCTTGTGAGGTAAAGCTTAGCAACTTTGGACAAGATGTGGGATAGGAGGATAAGAAAAGAGACAGGCTTTCAGCAGAAAATAAATCATAGTGAATGGGGATGTGTCTTTTCCACCTTCCTTACCTCACATTTCTTTTGCTTACTAACAGTTTACATATATTCCCGATAAGTGTCTGGACAGAAGCACGGCCTACATACATGGGAAATGGGCATCTTATGAGGGAAGAACCAAGTCTAAAGCTAGCCTAGGACTGGGGGCCAGGAATGAGATCAGAAGCTTGGATAAGACTCAGAATTAATTGTTCTGAGATATTCCACTCCCAGATTACCAGTTCCACGACCCATCCAGGAAATTCATACAAAGTTATCTGCTAGACCATACATCAAATCTCTCCTCATAAAGGAATCCAAAACTAAATTCTCACTTATCTAACTATGAATCTTAAAGACTGATGAAGTTCAAAGTTCAGAGAACAGCATAATACATACTATACGACCTTCAGTTGCTTCTCCCAGCAGTCCTCCAAATGTGATGACAGGAGACATACACGCGCAGTAGAGAAATAGAAAAGATGCTAAGCACTGCAGGCTGAGAGCATCTCTGAAGTCACTCCAGAAGTATGGAGCTTTTCTTTTGACATCTAAAATAAGTCCCCCAAAAAGCCTAAGACGGGGAAAACACAACAGTGAAATCCAAATATAAAAACATACAAATCAAAATGCTCATTTGCTTTGTTGCCAGGTCACAGTACACGTTTTCCATCAGTAGAGAGGAGACCCAATAATTACCTGCTATGTTATATTATCATGATCTACAAGGATGACTTTGCACTACTATGTTTCCTCAATTCTTAACCAGATATTGTATCAACAACCAAAAAAAAAAAAAAATCCCAGGTTCTCTCAAACAAGGTTCAGAGTTTTTCATTAAACAAATTTCAAATAATGAAATTTAGAATTACTCTATTTTCTGTGCCATTTCTGTATCAAACTAGTCCTAAACTCAGGCCTATTAACCTCAATTGTTGGCAGTATTTTCTAATTGTTTACATTTCATTTAGTGTAGCAGAAAGTGAAGAAAGGAGGGTAAACTGGCTTTGTATATTCCAATAGTGAACAACGCCCTAGAGAAAAAGTGTTTAACCATTACTCCAGTTACCTACTCTTCCGGAAAAAAAATCCCTCCTTAGATATTGTTCTAAGCAGCCATCTCAATGGCCTTATGAATGAGACAGTCGTTTTCAATTTTAGGTTAGGAGGGAAGACCTTATGACCATACATTTTGATCCATTATTGCCTAAATATATCCCAATGTCTATCACTCACAAGACAATAATGACCTTACTGGTATAAACTCATTTATTTCAAATACATTAAAAAACCACATTGAAACACTTGAAAGAGGAATTGGGTGGGTGAGGGGGTGGGGATAATATTAAACTGTGAAATGCTGCCTAAAATTTGAGGACCAAATTTTTTTTAATCTATTAAGAATGAGAGCATAAATTAACAGGTATTCTCATTCTTTGAACATTTAATAATAATATGCAAACTTAACACTTGATTACTAAAAGCTCTTTGTGCTCCATGGAATAAAGATGTCACATTAAAATGAATAAGACTATATGGTTAAGTTCCTATGTGGAGGTTAAGAAAAATTTATTATGTTCCAATATACTACCAGTATGCTGAATATACTTAAATTATGCAAAAGTATTAAATTTTTCTTATTTATTTTCTAAACAGAAATATGCATTTGCCACCCAACAATCACCTCAAAAATTATTATTCTCTTGAAAAACAAATTTAGTTTGCCTTAAAAATGTACATCTTCAGTATAACTAAAAATTTTTACTATTATTTTTAATTTCCCTGATCTGACTGACACACACACAACAGTAACATGTTAGTAACTATCTTACTATTATGTGAGTGATAAACTCACTGTTTTCCTACTGATTGCTTCCATCACAGGGATATGGAGTAGAAGTTGAAAGGGTAAATTTTTAATTGAAAAAAAGGACATTTAAAACTGAGAGACACTTGCAGAGAACCTGTGAAATTCACACACACACACACACACACACACACACACACACACACACACAAACCATCTTAGGTTCCTCTACCTACATTTTGTAAAACATGCATTTTTTAATTATTATTATTTTGGGGACGATTTCTGAATGATTTGTTAACTTGTCAAAGTCGCAATTCAAAGTAGATTTAATCTACTAGTTTATTTATTCATTCATTTATGATTTATATCCCACCTAATCCCTAAAAGAAGTTGAGGCGATTATGAGCTATTAATTAGTAGTTAATATTTATAGGTTCCATAGTATTTTCTAGTAGACCATTGTTTTACTAACTAATTACTTATTAGAGCATACATTAGTCTAAATAGCTCTTATATTACTGTGTAACAAATGTGCTTTTAGCAGCAAACATCTAAATCCGGAAGTGGGAGGTCATTACAGAGAACAGTGCAAGAGCAGCCCAGATGGACACCAGCAACTCCAGGAGAGCAGATGAGTAATGGATACTTCAAGCCATGTCAGCAACAGAATCTGTGGAAGAACTCTGGAGAAGCGAAGATACCGGATATTGGTGACCTGGGAGGATTTAGGAAGCAGTAAGGAAAAGTGAACTTTGAAAAAAATCTAAGCTATGTGGCACGTTACACCTGAGAGAGAGAAAAATATTACAACCCAAAAAAAAAAAAAAAAAGACAGCATTTGAAAATATGAAAGCAAACAGAAAGAGTAACAATGCTTCTAGTAAAGGGAAAAGGAAAAAATGTTTGTATCATATCAAATTAGGTACAGAGCCTGAGGAAGATGTTAAAGGATATTTCCTCAGAGACAAAAACATAGATAAAGGGAAAGAACAGAGGAGAATTAAAAGGCACAAAGTTGTCAAGAACTGGAAAGTCAGCTCAGAGGACACAGTGACAGCAGTACAGGAAATGGCCTTGAGGGGAGGGGAGCACCAATCCTGCAAAGCCTTTGCAATTGCCTTCAGTTTTAATGGAGGCTGTGTGCACATATTCTCTGAAGAGAGACCCACCCAAGGGTTTCTGATTTTCTGCTCACACATTGCTTGGAGAGAGACAAGCTGTCGGAAAACCATAAAGAACCAATTTAAGAAATAAATTGAAGCTTTCATCTCATCAAAGATGTGTGATTAGAAAAATAAATCATATACCTCTTTCAAATTACAACCATAAAAAATAAAAAATACTATTATATACATCCTACTTGTATGTAATGAGGTACAGCCTCTAAGACTGAGTTCTTGGTATTTATTTTTATTTCCATCTTGAACTTGAAGCTTTCAACAGACTCTTTGGAAGGGGTGACTGACAGTTTTCTTATTTATTCTAAGAATCTGTGAATGCATTTTATGCACAGCAAAATGAAAGACTAGGTAAGATAAAATGGAATGGTGTATATGCTGTCTGGTTTAATAGTAATGACAATCAGTAACTACAGAGAAATAAAATTAATTGGCATTTTTGCCCACAAAAAAATTGGTATTCAAAGTATGAAAAAGAATTAGATCTCAAAACAGCAATTCCTGACACACAAGAACAGTATATCATTGGGTCTTTGAAGTTCCATAAAAGTGCTTTTCACTAACCTTCCCGTTCGCTGAAGTTCAGGTCCACTATGTCCTCCGTGGGGCTCTGCTTCCCCATGAGCTGCTGTTCCATTTGGTACAGCAGGAATCTTCCTCTTCTCCTGTGGGAAGTGTTTTGTTTTAGTTTTTTTTTTTTTCAGGTGCTATTTGTAAATAACAAAAGCAAACGTTTCCTTGGAGACAATATGCTGAGTGGCTAAGAACCCAGCCTGACCTCCAGCAAGTTATCTAGCCTCCTAAAGCTTTCCACCTATCAGTGTGGCGGAAAGAATTAAACGAGGTGATGGACATTTATTCTTCATTCTTTCAACTAATATGTATTGATTGCCTAGTGTGTGCCATTTATTGTTATGGGTGCTAAAGATGCAAAGGTGAGCAAGAAAAAGCATTCCATTAGTGGAGACAAACAATTAAACTATAATGTCAGGTAGAGAGAGAGCTTTGCAGAAAAATGAAATAAGAGAAGGGGACAGACAGATTGGGGTGGGGTAGGTTAGGGTGAGGAGGTGTTAGTTACAGTGGTGTTATATGCCTGGCATGGTTCAGCTGTTCAGTAAACATTAACTATTATCGTCAACTAATTTTTCAGTGCGTTTCCCTCTTTGATTCTGGTTAATATCTTCTAACCTGTGAGCTGTTTTTAACATGGTTCTTTCTGACTCAGAGACCCAAAAGACCATAGCAAAAGGAAGTTTCTAATTGAGCCACTGACAAATTAACTTAGGTTTATATAAGTACTGTTTTCCCATAGGTCTATTCTGCCCACTTTTGTCAGTGAGAGATTTTTAAAAATCAAAAAAAACCCTACCTATTGGTGATCTTAAAGCACACAAAGGTGTTCAAAAGTGCTTAAAAGAATAATAAATATTTTCAAAGTGATACAATTAAAATTTTTACTTGACTGCCATTCCAAAATAGTGTAAACATGTAAACATGAAGAATAAAGCAAATTATCAAATGATCTTATGTACGATGAAACATTTAGACAAACTGGTACAGGTTTAAAACATGAGAAAAACTAGGTTTTGAAATACACAAAATATACGAAAGTTCATTGCTTAATATCTTTTACAATTTCCCAGGCATATGAATAGATACAATGAACAGAAGTTAAAAGATTAAAAAAAAAGGATGTGTTTCAACTAATAAAGGAGTTGCTTTTATAGGTAAATTATTAGCATACATTAGTAAAGGGCTTTCAGAATGACCCTCAATACCCTCACTACCTTATAATCACCTAGGGAAACATTTCTTAGCTTCTACAAAGTCTCAGAAAGCAAGTGATAGTATTTGGTCTTCTGGGGAATTATCCCTTACTGGATAAACTCACTCATTGTTTTACCATGGAAAAGTCTATATATTGAAAAAGCAAAAAATAAACCATGAGAGGTATTAGCCATTCTAAAGAACCTGTTTCCTCAAGAAGTGTTCCTTCATCTTGTAGTAAGGAAAAACATTGTTTGAGAGAGAAGTGTATACGAACAGCACTAATTAATATACTGAGGAAAAACATATAAAAAATATTTTTTGTTCAGAAACACACATATTTTGATGTTTTAAAACAAGTAATCAGTGAGTAGATATTTGACTACTTACATTATGTAATTTACTAGCTCAATTAACAAATACTGATTGAGAGTTAATTTGTGTCACATATTAGGCCCCACCACTATCCACAAGTTAACAAATAAGGCCTGTAGGACTAACATTCTAATGGGTAAGACAAACAATAAAAAAATGAATTAATTAATTCTATAATGTATTAGAAAGATTAAAAGCTATGGAAAATTAAAATTTAGAGCAGAGTAAGGTGGGGTTGAGGGGTGGGGTGGGTGGTTGGGGAGAAGGAGGGTGTGGGAATTTTAAGTCTAGTAGTCAGGCAGGCTCAGTGACAAAGTGTCATTTGAGAAAAATGGAGGAAGTCAAGGGAATTAGCCATGAGAATAACGGGGATATCCAGACAGAAATAACAGCCAGTGGGACAGTCAGAAGCAAGGGTGGTGCTGCAGGGTTTAAAGAACAGGAGCAAGGCGGCCAAGATGGTTGGAGAGGAGTGAGCAGGGGGAAACTGGCAGATGACTTCTGAGAGGTATGCGAAGGCCACTGTGTAAATTTAGTAGACCATGGTAAGTATTTGGCTTCTATTTTCAGTGAAATGAGGAACTTGTGCAGGGTTTTGAGGACAGGAGTAGCACGGTTTAACTTGGAATCCCTGTGGCTGCTGTGTTGAGAACAGATTGTGGGGGCCACGGATAGAAATAAGGAGACCAGTTAGGAGGCTATTTCAGTAATCCAGGAGAAAGATGAATGACGGTAGGCTGAAATAAGGTGGTGGCAGTAGCAATAGCAAGAAATGGTATAATTCTAGATAAATATTGAAGACAATGCCAAGAGTATTTCCTGGAAGAATGGAAGTCAGGTATAAGAGAAAATCATAAATGTTTTTGGCTTGATCAACTGTAAATATAGATACAGTTAGCGCCTACCAAGATGAGAAGATACAGAAGGAACTTTGGGAAAAGATCAATTTCTTACATACTTCAGAAAGCATGATATTGCCCTTTCTAATAAAACTGCAAAGAGGTATTCAGGTACAGAAATGAAACAATCTACAATTCAGTTAAACTTCAGACAAGCTAAGTTTTAGATATCTATGAGACATCCACGTGGAGACACAGGATGGGCATTTGAATAAATAACTCCCAAGTTCAAGGTGAAAAATCAACTTGGGAGAGGATTTAAAGCTATAACATTGGAAGTATTACCAAGATAATCAGTATAGATAGAGGAGAGAAGACAACTGAAGACTAAGTCTTGCATCACTTCAACATAAAGAAATCAGAGAGAAGATGAGGACCAGAAAAGAAGGCTGAGAAGAAGTGGCCAGTGAGGTACCAGGGATGCTAAAAGTGGTGTTTTGGAGCCAAGCAAAGAAAAGGGAGTTATCAACTCTCAAATGCTGCTGATTGACAGCCAAAATAAATGCAGACTGAGAACTGGCCATGGAATTTTAGCATTGTGGAGATCTTTGATGACCTTCAAGTAAGTAATTTTAGTGAAGTGATGGAGGCAAAACACATATTGGACTAGGTTTAAGAGAGAATTGGAGGCAGGTGGTACAGAGAACCTTTCTGTGGCATTTGGTTGCAGGGAGAACTAAGAAATGGTTCCGTAGCTGGCAGTGGTAGCTGTATTGAGAGTTCCTTTCATTTTAAGATTTGCAAATTAACAATGTTGTATGCTGATAAAAACGATATAATACAGAACAAAAGAACTGATGCTATAAGGAAAAAAGAGGAGAATTGATAGAGTAATATCTTGGAGTAGGTGTGACGAGATGGGATCTAGTATCCAGGTAAAGGCTGATTTTGGCTAACTCATCAATAATGTTGGGTCATGACGTATTTTTTCTGTTTTTTGTTGCAAAAAATGTGTCATGACTTTTCCGACAACCCAATATTATATGGGAAGGCGGAATATGTGGCGATAGATGCTGGCAGGTGGATAGGTGTGATGGTAAGAGCTGTGAAAGTTCTCTTGATCATTTCATATTTCTCATGGAAGTAGAAAGCAAGTCAACATCTGAGAGTGAATGTCAGAATGGATTTCTGAAGGTTTGAGAGAGAAAACAAGTGTGAAATGGCATCTACAGAGAATGAATGGACTGAGGTAGTATGATGAACCTGCAACACTGAAGGCCCACTTGGGGTATGTGGTCATGACTTATGTGGGATCAGTGTAATATATGTTTTCCCTCAGCCACACTCAGCTAGATCAATGCAGGTACAGGCTAAAGAGTTGAATTCACATAAGGTTGTGGTTTTGACAAGCAAGTAAATGGCATGAGAGAAAAGCAAAGCTGTGGGTATATACAAGGGAGTGATTATAATAACTGACACAAAGTTCTAATGGTATATTCAGGGTTATCACTTGAGGTGACTGGTTATTCTCCACTTAACTGAAAGGAAAAAATATCTAAAATTCTGTTATTTACACATTTCAAAAGAATAAAGAACATGGAAATTATCTCATGGTGGAAAGTATTATTTGAATTAGAACGTCTGTAGTCAGAACGCTTAATATATTTAAATTCATTATGCTCCATTTAATAAAAGGAACAGTTTCATAGTATCTGTTATTGAATTACTACACACGTTAAAAAAATACCAGTGTAAAGAAGCATAGAGCGTATCTCTAATTCTAACTCATTATATAACTGTGCTCTCTAATATGATAGCCACTAACTACATGTGGCTATTTACATTTAAGTTAATTAAAATTTAAAATTCAGTTCCGCAGTTGCAGTAGGCACATTCTAGTGCTCAATAGTGGCTTGGCTCATTAGATCGCATAATAGATCACTTCTATTACTGAAGATAGTTTTACTGGACATGCTGATATACAATATAACGTCAGTATAGAGGGGCTAGGACATCTGTTCTAGGTCATACAAATCAGTAATAGCGGAACCCACATGTCTTGATTCTTTTTTTTAAATTAAAGTTTATTGGGGTGACAATGGTTAGTAAAGTTACATAGGTTTCTAGTGTACAATTCCGGAATACATCATCTATATATCACATTGTGTGTTCAGAGTCAGTTCTCCTTCCATCACCACGTTTTTTATCTCATTTACCCTCATGTACGTCTGTGATCTCCTAACCAGTCTTCACTTTTTAATGTTATGTGGGACCCCCACACCAATATGCAATGCTCCACACACCAGCTGGATGTCCTACAATTCAGCTCAATTCTGACACTCTCTACCGGGAGATAGCATCAGATGCCATTGGCTGAGGGCTCAGTCCTGCAAGGCTGCCCCTCCCCCACCCCTACCCTCACCCCCACTTCAGAGGCCAGTTGCAAGCTCAGGTTGTTACTTGAGCTTCTGACTGACTTGGGAATCAGGGCTTCCCAAGACCCCATCTTTGAATTTCAACTAATTTGCTAGAGCGGTTTACAGAACTCAGAGAAACATTTCACTGACTGGACCACCAGGTAACTATAAAAGGATATAACTCAGGAACAGCCAGATGGGAGAGATGTGCAGGGCAAGGTATGGGGAAAGGGCAAGGAGCTTCCCTGCCCTCTCCAGGTACATGGCTCTCCCAAATTTCCCATGCTCACCAACCTGGAAGCTCTCAGAACCCTGTATTTTGGAGGGTTTATGGAGGCTTCATTACATAGGCATGATTAATTAAACCATTGGCCATTGGTATTGAACTCAATCACCAGTCCCTCTCCCCTCCCTGGAGGTGGGAGGGTGGGACTGAAATTTCCAACCCTCTAATCACAGATTTGCATCACATCCTTAGGTGAGTTCCAAAAGCTGTCTCATTAACATAACAAAAGACACCTTTGTTGCTCTCATCGCTGGAAATTCCAAAGGTTTTAGGAGCTGTGTGCCAGAAACAGGATAAACGCCAAACTTATATTTCTTATTATAAATCACAATATCACTGAGGTTATAATTCAAATTATTTGAATCTTTTTGATGGGTTATACCATTTTAGTGCATGTATTTAAAAGACAACAAAATGAAGGAATTATAAGAGTATTTTCAAATTTACATACCTGGGAAGGAACATTTTTTGGAGGCTCTATTCGAATGCTTGGATCCCATTCTCCAGGAGGGAGAACAGTAACCTGATCCAGAAATTCATCAATTCCTGATACCAAGTCATTACGATCTTTAGCTTTGTAAGCAACATCATGAAATACCTATGGAAGAAAAAGAAATACCCTTTATAGATTTAAAAAATGATAACAAATATTAAATGTGTTCAGTGTTTTCATTTTCTAGTTATCTCACACGTGTTTATAACAGTTTGAAGAAACAGGCAACTCTAAAGATGTTTTTTAATGTAAATATTATCATTTAGTTTATGCTATGAATGCACACAGATATATTTTTGGCTTAAAATGCTAGAATGAATGTTGAAATTTCTGGAGGCCAGAGTACAGGAAAGGGAAAAAAGGACAAAAGGAATCTCATTAAACTAGAATTAACGGCTCGAGCTTGGCAAAGGTTATTTATGTGCAGGTAAATTGAACTTTCTGAAAGAAGCTCTGCTTAAAAATAGAGATAAGAATGTATAGAATAAACTAGAAATTTTAGCAATATTATACACTGGCATACATAAACTAATTTAAAATGTTATTTTTGTTTCAATTTTTAAATAATAATGTTATAAATTAGTATTTTCTGGAATATATATCATATCTATACAGTGTAGAAAGTATATTTCCATTCAAGATACACATACACACACACACACACACACACACACACACACACACCCGTGGTAGTTTTTAAGCTATTGATAGATGTCAACACAGGTCTTTTTCTAGACACATGATAAGATTGTATTTCCTGCCTTCCTTGATATTGGGATTAGGTGTGTTCTAATAGTAACAGAGTGAAATGATCAGTCTCTCTGACTCCATCTTATTCATCAAACCTGCCTTGTTCCCATGCTAATCATCAGAGGAATTCTGCTGGGTGCTTGGTTTTTATAAAAACAGCCCCTCCCATTTTCCTTCCCTTGACAGAAAAGAAGCCTGAACTCTGTTCTCTCTCAAAATGGATTAGGTCTCTCATCTTCTGGGTTGACACCATCTCGATCAATAAACTTTTCCTCACTCTAAAATCTGATGTTTTGAGTTTTGGCCTTCTGACACATCAGGCACATGGACTTTGGACTGGTTACATGGTTAGGTGTATATATGTCACTTTTAAATAAAAGTTCTGAGCATTTCTGTGTGACTTATCACATAGCCTTTTGTCTGCCAGTGATTGCGAAAACACAGATGGAGATGAGCTTCTGTTGGCTTGGGTACCTTGAGAGACTGTTATTATCATGGCCACTCTGCCAGTTTATAATGGACACACCACGTGACAAACATAAATCCTTGTTGTTTTAAACCACTGAGATTTTAGTTGTTTATTCCTGCAGCAAACCCAATTTCTCCTAACTAACATACTTGAGGAATGGTGTACTCACTAAAATAAGTGCGCAAAATAAAAATGAATGGGAAAAATTAATTTACACTAATATAATGTAAATATTTCTGATTTTTTTTTGTATTTCACATAATATGAAATGGAACATAAATATTTGAGGTTTGGGATTACTGTATTATTCTTGATGCTAATCTATATCACAGAACCAAATATACCAAAACTGACAGGAAAATTGTGCTTTCAAATATTCTATTTTGTTTTTAGACCATTTGTTTTAGTTTCTGGTTTGATACTCAATCTAAACTGCTGATGAAGTGATAATGATTGTTTTCAAAGATTTTTTTCTTTACCTTCCAACTAAGAACATTTCATAAAAAATCAATGGGGTGATACACAGTATTTGCTTAGGATAATATGAAAACATCAGAGATATATTAATGATTTATTTGTAGTTTGAGAAAGAGAACTTTTAAATATTGCAAGCATAGCACAGGTTTCCTTGCCATAAACCACCGAGTTCTAAAGATCTTTAGATGGCCATGAGACCCAATCTGAACATTTAAGAATTGCAAATGTTCTTAGTTCCAATGAGAGTTTAGCTACCCTACTTGTTCCCTGATAATAGCAACTCGCTTGAAATCTTTCTTGATTTGATCTCATTTCATTTAAAAAATCACTTCAAGAAATCAAATGATCCTATACCCACTTTAGATAGACGAATGTCTGAATTCATCCAGAATAGCTGATTCCTTATTATTTTAAAGCTCCTCAAAGATATAGATACCACAAGTTACTTGATTTTAAAATAAAAATTTTATTTACTATGGATTTCCTATCACCAATTTCCCCAATAACTTAATTCTTTAAATTGCCTTTTCCCCTTCTCTTTGTTTAGCTAAACCTAACATCCTGATTTCAACATGCACCTGATTTCTAGAAATTTTCCTGATCCCCTCTCAAATAAGATTAGATATCTTGTTAACACTCCCCTAACAGCTAGTTTTGGGGTTTTTTTGTTAGCTTTCACTGTAATTATAATTATTTATTACAATTATTAATTATTGGGTTGTCGGAAAACTCATGACATATTTTTTCTATGTTTTTCATTGCAAAAATGCATCATGACTTTTCCAACAACCCAATATCTAACTAGTTGTTTATTGCCTTTTTCCTGATAAAACATGAGTTCTGAATTTTCATTCAATAAATATTTATTAAACTATTCATGTACTAGGGATAGAGCACTGAACAAAACCAACAAAAATCCATTCCCTCACAGACCTTCATTTTAGTGGGAGGGAAAAGATGGAAAATAAGCAATATAAATGAATATTTTGTTGGATGGTGGAAAGTGTACGCAGAAAAATAAAGCAGGAAAGAGGAATCAGAGTAAAACTGGGGGTTGCTGCAATTTTAAACAGGGTGATTAAGGAAGCCCTCAATCAGTAGACATTTCAGCAAAAACCTGAAGGAGTTAAGGTTACAAGATATGTAGCTATCAGAAGCAAGGGCTTTCCAGGAAGAGGGAATAGCTGGTACAATGATTCTCAGGCGAGAGAATGCCTGCTACATTTGAGAGGTAGCAAGGAGGCCAATTCCGTAGGCAGGAGAGAGCTAGAGGGAGACATAAAGTATGAATCTCATTGAACATAATATAGAAGGATATATTTATGACTTTAGTGTAAGCATTAATACAAATCTCAAAGATTTAGTGTCAAAACAAAGCACACAGCTACTTTTAGCTGTACTTCATGGGGGAAAAAAGAAAGAAGGGTGCAATAATGTCAAATGCCAATGAGAGATCAAGTGACATCATTTGTAAGTGTGACCTTACTGAACATAGGATACACCATTTGTAAATGGTGACCTTGCTGAAAGCAGTTTCAGTAGAGTGGTAGTGACAAAAATCAGATTGTAATGCCGAGAGATTCATGAAGCTAAGATATTCAGGACCAAGTGGAGACTACTCCTTCAAAGCTCTTCAGATTCAGATTCAGATAATTCTTCTTCTGTGGTAGCTGCTATGTTAAGCAGTAAGAGATTTTATTTTAAGGATGGGGAAAACCTGGACATTAACTTTATACATACTTCTTAAGTAGCTACCAAATATTGGGCATGGTTGCTGACTGAACAGAAAGAGTCACTGTTGACTTAAAATCTTGGTGACAGAGACAGAAAATAGTTGGCTCAAAAACCCAGAACAACAACAACAAAAAAAACAATGCCACTCTTCTAATTTTCTTTGTTTTTTCCTTTGTTATCATAAAACTGTTATTTGTGTTAATATATAATGGCTTTATTATTGTTATATTTAAATGAATTCATAAATAAATTTAAAAATTCTCAGTTTTAAGTTCTATTGTGATAAATATTGGTATACTATCAATATAAATGAAAGCTATTTGGAGTGTTTAATAATTTTCAAGGATGTAAAGAGATTAATATATTGGTAGTAGTGCTAATAAGCAAAAATTATATGAGTTATCTCTAATAGGGTTCAACAGAAAAGAAAATAAATTATTGGATTGATTCAAGATAAGGTATTGCTAAAATGAAGAACACATTCAGTCATTAATTCATTAAAAAAAAAAATCATTGAACCCTGACTGAAGGCCAGACACTGTTCTAATTCTGAAAATACAAAAGAAAAAAGACAGGAGTTCCCAGTTCAGGGAGGAAAAGCTCAAATAGAGCTCAGTCAACAAATATTTATTTGAGGACCTACAAAATCAAGGCACTAAAATGAAGAAGTGGTAACTGCTCTCATGTAATTTAAAGTTTGATAATGCAATCCAATTTACCATTTTCTTAATTAAATTAAACTTCATGAACCAACTTTTTAAATTTTGTTCTTAATGAGTATAATTATCCAATAGCCTTCGAATCAATTAGATAAGAAAAACGATTTTTCCGCTTCTGCTTTGAACAATAAAAAATTATTTTTTAAAAAAGTATTTAAACATTTTTATGCTAGTCAATGAATGTACTATTATAATTAATATGTCTTATTATAATTAACAGCTCTCTCTTTTGGAGAAACTCTCTGAGTTTCTGCTTCTCTATCCCACTATTCTCGGAGAGTTACAAATTGCTCTAAAGTTTCAGGTCTAAATGATTCATGTTGGAGCTTTCATTAGATGGCTCATTAATCAAGGAAAAAGATGTTCCTTCTCTACTCTGATTCTAAATTTAAAATTTTAAAAACATGGATGTTTCTCTGTTGTTCTGTGTCCACTTGATTAGTTAAAAGAAAACTCTGGAATTGACATTTTTCTGTGAGAAAATCTTGACTCTTAATAGGGGAAGGAAAGGTTTAGGAAGAAGGGTACCTTGAGCATGTATGCACCTCCCATGACACAATGTGCTCCTCTCACCATATAACATGTGCCATGCCACAGAGATATCTTAATGTAATTTCCTGATGTTAGATGTGAATACATAATATAACATGAAACTATGTGCACATGCAAGTGACAATACTTAAACTGTGGAATAGAAATCAGTTCCATTTATTTTGCAATACTGTGGAGACACTAAAAGCAAAGATACTATGAGTATTATCTCGTAAAGAGTTCTACTAAAGCAAGTTTTGGGGCTTCATGAAGCCCTTTTTATCACTCTCCTGCTTTCTCCCAGATTTCATCAATGAAATGATACTCACTATAGTGAAGGGAATAGTGTCGTCTCAAAATATTTGTTCACCTGAACCTCAGAATGTGGCTTTACTTGAAATAAAGGTCTTTGCAGATGTAATTAAGGTAAGAATCTCAAGATGAGGTCATCTTGGATTAGGGAGGGCTCTAAATGCAATGATGGATATTTGTATGAGACAGAAAAATAGATGACACGCAGAGACACGAGGGAGAAGGCCATGTGAAGATGGAGGCAGAGACGGGAATTTTCCTGCCACAGCTGAGAAACACCAGAGGTTAGAGACAAGGAGAGGTTTTCCTCTAGAACCTTCAGAGAGAATGTGGCCCTGATGACACCTTGATTTCAGACTTCTGGATGCCCCCAAATGTGAGAAAACATTATTCTTGTTTTAATCACCCAGTTTGTGTAATTTTTTATGGCAGCTGTAGGAAGCAAATACACTCATTAAGTTAGTTCTTTATGAAACGGATGAAAAAAATGTTTTTCTCTAGTTTTTGGTTTCCTACGTGTAAATATCAATAACTAATTGATATAAAACCATAAAACACAGTAATTTAAACAGATATAATAGACGAATTTCTATCGAACCCAAAACACAAGTTCAAATTTTCAGATTTCATAATCCTAGTAAAAGTTATATGTAATATTAGTTCAGTCTTTCTTTTTTTTACAGATGTTAAAGTCATGTGTTTCATCTAAAGCCATGTGTTTCAGTAAATACATCATTAAATTATTTAGATGAGATTCTAAAAATGTATAATCCCATTTATTATTTACCATTGAATTCTGAATTTATGTCCCTTCTGTGATCTTTGTATCTGCTTTTCTCTAATAATAATAACAATAAAATTTTTTTTTTAATTTCCTTAAGGTATTGGGAATACAAAAACCAGTTATATAACACTATTTTTACATTCTTAATTTTATGATTTTACATTTTTGAGATATATGCCTTATTGAGAAGCTGATGAGAGCATTTTTCAGTTCAAAAAAATCTACACACAAATTTTTTACATAGAAAAATTTGTGCTCAGAGAGATCACAGGTCCCTTAAAATCCATCTACAGCTTTTCTGATGGTTCAAAGACCACCAGGTTAAGAACGACTACTTACAGGCCATTGTAACGAGAGTTGATAGATATTGCATGGATTTTAGTGTCATGTATACTATTCAGATAAACTGTTATTGTTCTTTCTTGAGACCTTAAAATTATTTGGCCCACTCTCCATGGTTGAATGCAACTCTGAACATACTGTACTCTTCAAATGGGTAAATTGTGTGACATATGACTTATATCTGAATAAAGTTGTTAAAAATGTTTCCAGAAACATTATTTTACTCAAATCAGATTTGTGATAATATTAATAATGGTATCACTTTGGCAGAACATATAAGAAGAATATCAATAAATATATTCTAAATGTCACTAAGTAATGAATTTTTTATTATATGAGGTTTGAAAGCACTATATTCATGTGTGTCAATTTATTACCCCTTTTGAACAAATTTTTGCAAAGGAAGTTTTCTAGTACAAACATAGAAGGGGGATTCAATACAGAGAAAACTGATTCACAGTAAATTGTCATGAATACAGGAAACCCAAAAGTTAGGTGTACCTAGTGGGGAAAATGTTCCCAATGAACTTGAATAAATACCTCATCTGTCATTAGGGTTGCAATTGATCTGCCAATCTCATGGTACTGTTGACCCTTTCCCAGGGGTCCCAGAAGAATGAACAAGAATCTGTAATTAAGAAGAAAATAAAACACGAATGTTTCATGGTAGAATATAAAAATAATTTTAGTAGTACAGAATCACTCATCTCAAAGAAATTACTCAAGATGGGGATTTCAATGCAAAATACTTCCATATTTTTTCAGTTTATTATTATTTTAAAACATTTTATAATGATTTACTCTTATGCTTAAGGTTCTTACACAATAGGAATCTGTGGTTATTTTGATCTCAGTGTTTTCCCCATTTCATTACCTGTAGAGCCTACACAGTTGTTAGTGAGAATTTTAAGGATTCTCTAATTCTTAGAGGAGTAAGGTGAGAAAATTAAAATCTGATTAAACCATTCAAAATTGTAAGGAAGAGAATTTACTAATATGCAAATTGTAGAACTAGGTAGAAAGGGGGAAAGATAATACAGTTGTATAAACAAAGAACATATGGTAAAAAAAACCCAAAGGAGTATGTAAATTTTACATTAAATAGAAAAAATATTGTCAGGAATCAAAGACCAGTTAGGCACAAAAATAAATAAATAAATTAATTAATTAATTAAAATGCTCTATCTATCAATTCAAATGCTACAGGAATAAAATTACCAGTTGCAATGTGATATTCCATCTAAATTAGGTTGAAAGTCTAGCAAACTCATCATCACAACTGGAGTTTTTGAAGAAATCAATATGTACTCTAACTTTAAAGGACTGGTAATTGTCCTGTGTCTGAAAAGGTCAGTGCTGCAGGAAAATTGTGAAAATTTTAAAATGCCTTATAGTCTGCAATATAATTCTATGGTATTAATTTGTTAAATGGTTTTATGCTCTTAGGCATGAAGACTAATGGCTTTGTAAAATATACTAAAACAGGTACTATAATTCTACCCTTCATTTTAGTTATAAGCTTTAGAGAATATACATGTTTTTACATAAAGCATATATTATACAGTCTTCTAGGATCTGATATTAATTTTTTGCGTCAGTGGTAACTAAATCCTAGTCAATTTTTATTATACAGAAATGTCCACTATACATTTAAAACAGGAATAATTTAATGTGGTGGTAGATGCTTTATCAACTATAATACTTTTAAGAAATTTCTTAACCTATGTACATCTTGCTATTTTCAGGTTTCCATTCCATGGGCTATTTATAAAGTCCTAAGAGATTATTTTCTGACATTTTTACTATGTTTTGCTGTTATATTCATGTTGTGCCCTTTTGTCCTCCAAGAAAGGATAATTAGGAACCTTGAACAGCTGTCTTTATTCTATTTGTCTAACTAATCTTCTTCCATTTTTCGCCTTTCTTAACTAGTCCAGTCTTTCTAATCTCTCCTTATACAGTGGCTCTACCATGACCCTAATTTTTTCTCCATTGCTCTCTACACATATTTTGCTGTCAGCATGAAATGAGGTCACCTAAACCTTGACAGTTTTCAAAGTGAGGGTGTATAACCCCATTATGGCTTTTCTCTACTCCTGGGAATTTTTCTTTTCTTTCCTTTGAAATACAGGAACTATCATGGGCAGAAATAGAGTTCATCAGACACCTTCCTAAATGGTGGAATAAGAATATGCTGCTTAGAAGACTGAAAAGGGATTTTAAACTACTAAAATGATATCTCTACAATTAGTAAGCTTGACATCTTAAATCTGAATCCCAAATTCCCAGAAACTCTGAATAGGTTACAGGCTGTGCATAGAAAAACAAAGCTTTAATCATACAGTCAGGTGCGACTTTAATGTACTCAGCTCATCATTCCCCTTTTTAAATAAAAGTCGGTATGTATCAGAAGTCTCATTAGCCCTCCTAAAGGATGAACTTCTTTTCTGTAAGCTGAATGGTAACCAAGTTCCTGCCTCAAACCGCAGATTCAAACTCAAACACCAGATTCCATTCCAGCTGGCTGAGCTCCTACAAAACAAGGCCTCTTCTGACTAAACTATTCCATATTTTGAGGATATCTTATCCATAATTAAAGCACAGAGGGATGTAATCTGCTATGTTTTGAGTTAAGGACAAAGGTTCACACAGGAAACGTATTCTACAAACCCAGATGCCATAGCACCTGAGCTTGACATCATTTTAACTTGACTGAGGCATGCTGTGTTTGGAAGAGGTGTCATGCTAACAGCATCTGAAACAGAGCGCCAAACAGTGGGTACCAGTGATCTGGAAGGTGGGGCCCCACAGAGATATGTTTTGCTATAGAAACAGGATCAGAGTGAAAGGCTATCTTTATATAAGAACCACATTTTATGGAGAGAGAAGGGAAGAAAACAAGGTGTCCTGGATGAATTGCTAGGCACCTAATGTGCTGAGGTCATTTATTTCCTTCACACTTTTTTTCATGGACAGTCTTATATCTATAAAATAGAGATAAATTATAAACAACATAATTCAATTTGTATTACCCTTAAGTTGTTAGTTTTTATACATAGATAAATGAAAAGCAAGTTCATGCAATCAAATTAAATTTGCGCTTTGGATTTGGATTCAACCACAGTACCATGATGCTACTACCAATTATTCTTCAGAGTCTATGTAGGGGAGCTATACAGTGCCTGCAATTAAAACAAGCAGTGCGTTAGGTGCACGCCAGGCTATCCTAATGACAGCACTTACATGTACTTTGAAGGCATACTCATTCAAGCATAGGCCAAGCCTTGGAAACTGGTGGATTTGGGTTTGACCACACTTGTATACAGAATCCCCTCTTTAGACCACAGTCTAATACAATCTTAGAGGAGAGCCTAGCAGTTTATCACTTTTTACCAAAATCATAAGAAAAAGTTTATGGCCGGCCGAGTGGCTCAGTTGGTTAAGAGCTTTCTCAAGAGTGTGAGCTCTGAACAACAGGGTCGCCGGCTTGATTCCCAGCCCAAGCTGAGCTGCCACTGAGCTGCCAATAGGTGGCAGGATGGCTCAGCAAAAAAATAAAATAAAATAAATAAAAATAAATTAAAAAAAAAGAATTTATATCATGATATAGACCAGACTATTCAGAGATGAAGAGCATGCCTAAAAGAAAACATAAAAGTTTGAGAAGGAGGAGGAAAGAATAATTTTTAAACCACTTTTTTCCCTCCTCCACAAACCAGAAGAAACAACTGTTTTGTGGATTAAACATTAGTTTCTAGAAAAAACTCTCTCGGAGAAAATTATATTTGCTCCTTGTGTTTGTTTTTTACACACACACACACACACACACACACACACACACACACACACACACACACAAAGGTTTAAGAAAAACACAAAAGATACTCTGAGGCTTTTTACCTGGTTGGGATTGGGACTTCAGCCAGTCCCTGAAGCAATACAGCTGGAGACAACCTGACAAATGCAACTACAGTTCGATCCAAGAACTCCAATTCCCCAACTAAGATGTTTGAAGCTTCAGCACCTGGAGGAATCTTTTTCATAAAATGCAGATCAACCTGCGAGTGTCACAAAGTAAAATAAGATAAATCAAAATTGGAAAAATTTGCTAAATCATATCCTAGCACAGTGCCTTACACATGGTAATCCATCAATAAATATAGTTTAAATAAACTTTAAAAATAGTTAAACATGTCATTTGCCCTTTAGGAATAACTATTTTTCTTATGTATTTTTCTAATTTGTCATCAACAAGCTGAATACTCTAGTTTCTTTATTCACTATCTTTAAAGAAGCTTTTTCAGTATCAGCAATCTTAAAATTTTTAGAGAGAAAAAAGCATATGCTCAATGAAATATACTTTAATAATAATTTAATTAGCATTTGCTAATAGATTTCAATATTTTCTGCTACATTATCTTAATTTGGTGCACAATATATTTCAATTAATTAGTACTCAAAATACACCTATTTCAAAAGAAATATATCATCATGTTTCTCCTTACAATATAAAGTATGGCCTTAGTCCTCATCTTTATTCTAATTGTTCCATAGCCTTCACAATCTATAGTTGGCCTGATCACTCATCAATTTTAATTTCTCATCAGAGAATTTAGATACAGCAGAGTAAAGAAAACAAGAATAAAACTATTAACATTGTGGTGACTGAGGAGCCATAGCTGACTTTCTGATATGAGATGTCTGTGATTGAAATGAATGCACATGAAATAAAAGTGATCGTTAGCAAGAAGAAATGCTTAAAGGGTGAAGTTTGAAAAATGAGTGTAAACTGCTCAGAGTAAATAGCAATATTTAAGCACAGGGTCTCACTGAAAACCAAGTAGTGACTTTAAAGTAAATTTTACAAGGCCTACTTCTTGTTTCTAATTTATTTGAGTTGCTTTTTATGGAAATCTGTTTGTAGAGACAATCAGATTTTTATCTGCTCTAGTAATTGGTTTTATGCTTTTATGTTAAAGAAATGGGGGCCAAAGATCAAAGTGGGAATAGCCAAGACAGAGAGAGAAAAGAGCTCTGGCAAATATAGGAGAGGCTGAGAAGATTTTTTTTTAGGCCAGATAGTTCTTTTGCAAGTTAATGATTTGAGAATATTTTTTCGAAGAAGTTTAAAATGAAAAAATTAGAACTTTTAGGAGTACCTTAGAAAATCCATAGCCAGACTCTAGTGACTACATTAAATATATTGCTTTCTGAAATCAAGACCTTAACACTGTTATTTGGAAGATATATAACTATTTAATTTTTCTGTAAAACAAGGGTGCGCAAAACTTAAAACCCATTATATGGAGTGTACATTTTATCATAAGGATTAAATATAACAATAATCTGTAGTACTCAACTAAAAATATCAAATAGAACCAATGCTCTATTTTAAAGAAAAAAATGATTTAACGATGTAAAACTTCCTATAAAAAATATGACAAATACTATAAATTCCAAAGTATTTAACCAATAAATATACTTTCAAATACAAATTTATAAGTTTATACATTGAGATAATATATGGTAAATATTTTCCTGTATAGAATATAATCTTTTAATTTATAGATACAAAAGTATTTATTTACCTTTTTAATACAAGGTTAAATTTCATGAGAATTATTATCATGTTTTCATATTTATTTTCCTAGCTAGGAAATACGCATGCATTGGAAATGCTTTCAATTACTTATGCTTTACAATTTCACTATAATGTATAAATTCTCAAGAAGGGAGTAAAAGATTACTCATATACTATTAGACCTGTGATAAAAACATAATAAATTTTTCTAAGTCTTTCAGAGTCTAAAAGAGTAAACAATTAAGCTTTTTTTCCCAATTGGGAATAATCATTATTCAATGTTAAAATACTGGAACAAAATTTAAAATAAGAAAATAGCTTTTTAAGAAAAATCTATAATTGATAAACAATATGAGTCATACTGATAATACCTGTCATAACCTTAATAAACTTAAATTCCACCTGGAAAACTTTCTATAAACTCATTTATTGCTTGACAAATACTATAGTGTTAACTATTGAAGTCTGTGCCTCAGGAAGGTGGAAATTATACAAATCACTGCTTTAAGATGCAATTTAATTAAATCAAGGAGTACACAGCATGCTAAAATAGTTTAATTTTATAAAAGGAAATATATGGTCCTTACACATGATTTTACTTTTGCATTACATAATACCTAATATATCATTCATTGATATCTGTTATTTAGAAAAAAAAACATTAAATATACAGAATTAAATCTCAGGAGTAGCAAATTTATCTTTTGATTTTAAACATAATAAATTATAGTTAAATAATATATATCTAGAGTAACCATTATATTATACTCATATTATATTATATTATATTATTCTTGAAGTAGTTATATACTTGGGGGTAATAGATTATATAATTTGTTACCTAATTATTATACTTGCAATTATGTATTATATTATTCCTGGGGTAGCCCTGTATTTTTGTATTTGTGTTAATATACAATTCATAAAAACACCTTATTTAGCAATTTAACTACCTTTTAATATAACAAAAGATCACATGTAAGGACCAAAATTTAACCTTTTATAAAGTTACAAATACCTAAAAGGGCTCTGAGGAATTAGGTTGAATTACATCTCTAAGACAACCCTCCAGTAGACTCAAACACTTAGAACGAACAAATACTGGGATTTTCTCTAACTCTGAATAGGACCTTAAAGAAATCAAGCTATACTCTTATGGATCTGGGTTTACATTCATTTTGCTGGGTTCTCTAGACCTTTATGCTAAGAAAGGAAAGATGTTTTATTCTGGGCATTTGGTGCTTAAGCTGTGGGTGAGGAACAATTATATCTCCAGGGAACAAGGTAGGACAGAAGATCATGGTAGAACTGGAAGTGTCTGGACAAGCTACATGCTGAGATGTGAAGGAAATACAGATGGGACTTTAGTGGAAAAGTTTAAGTTTTTAAGACCATTACAAAAGTACCAGAAAATTAATAGGGATTCTCTGGGGAGAAACGGTGTTGTTACACTAACCAGCCAGTGATATCAAGCAACTCTCTTAATGTCTCTGGAATGCAGCCTTCTCATCCTCTAAATTTCTAATGTTTCCTAGAGTTCTAGGATTTAATAATCCAACCCTCTTTATTATGTTTCACATACTCAAGATTGATGCAGAAGAAAGATTTTCTACAAAGAGAATAATGTGAAGGTTTCTTTGAGTCATTTGAAATAAAAGAAATACCACCAGCATTTCGGATATACTAAAATAGCCAACCTCTACATGTCAGTTTAAAAAACAGTGACATAGAGTGTTTTGACACGTCTGCTTATTAAAAACATTATAGGAAGCAAAAACCTGACAGCTCAGATTATATTAAAAACATTCCTTAAATGAATAAATTCGATGGGTCTCTCCATTCATTGGAAGGGTTAAATATGTATATTATAGAATGAATGTAGATAGGATGCAGGATCAAGTTACATGAAATGAATGAAGAATGCTTTTACCCTTAACATTTCAAAATTCTACTGGGAATTTTATTAAAACTTAAAATATTTAAATGGACAAAATAACCTAGAGACTAGCTGAACTGTGATGTATTTACTACCAAACTGAAGTCATTAGGCTAAAAAAACCTTATCTCATGTACCTGCAAAATTTGGCACTAAAATTTATTTCCATAATGATGGATCATATTTGTTCTCTCCAAACTGTACTACTCTGTTCTCCCAGGTTATAAAGTAAGAAATGTTATTTTAACAGTTGTTCAAAAACATTCTAGAACTAAAGGTTTAAATTATTTTGAATCTCACAGGATTCATTCAAAAAATACTTCCCAAGTACTGTTCAAGGCACTAGAGATCCAGGGGAGACCAAAATATATTCGATTCTGGTCTAGTATTTATTTTGACATTAACATTAATAATAATAATAATAGTAATAGTAATAATAATAACAGCCACCTTTTATTGAATGCCTACTATATTCCCAGCGCTCTACCAGGCATTCTCTATATTATCTCATTTGATTTTCAAAACAAAATTATAAATAGATATTATTATTATTATTTTACAAATAACAAAGCTGAAGTTCAGAGAAATTCTCCAAGATCAGATAGTTTATAAATGCTAGAGTTAGGGTTCAAGATCTCATGCTCCTCCTCAAAAGCCATGTTCTTTCCCATGTGCCATGTTATGACTGATGACTATAAATGGTTGGCACTGAGTAGAGGGTTCTCGGAATTTAGCTTGCCTATTCAAGGATGAAATGGACAAGAGATTGAAAATCCAATAGACGAAAACGATTAAAAGAAAGAAAATCTTTTTTAATTCTTCCGTAGTTCTAATTGTTTTTGGGAGACCTGAAGATAGGACTATACTCTCTCCAATTGACAACATTCATTTTCCTTAAAACGTGATGAAGCGTTTTTGAGGCTGCCAAAGATAGGTCGGTCAACCAAAAGCAAAATGATATGGAGATATAAAATTCAGTGCCAAGGGTTATAGCCTTAAAAAAGTTAAAGGGTAATTTATTGAAAGGATGTGACTTATTATCATTGTTTTAGAGAATGTTAAATATGGTCTTGCTGTACCATTAATGCCTGCATACATAAGTAAGCAACTTCTTATGTCACTGCTTTTAAAATATTGTTTCAAATGAAGAATATCAGAAATTAAATGTATGGCAGTTTGTGACAATTTTATTCCAACTTGCAGATGAATGAACATGTAATGCTTTAAAAAGATATTTTGGAACGGCAAATGGAATACATTTGAACTGGCTTAATACTTGAATCACATGCCTCCATACAGTGAAATGAGCTTTGAACCACCGTGGAAACACAGCCCGAGGAAGCCCTCACCTCTCTCTCTTGCTGGTGTGGAGGTCCTTTTTCATGCCTTTGTTTCATCCCACATGGACTAGTATGCCCCTTTTGTTGGCCTCCCAGTCCCTGCACGCATAATTAACAGACTTAAGCTGGTACACCGCGCTCCCACGGAAACTCCGCCAGGCACCAGAGGGAGAGCATGCACATGACTAGACCTAGGCCATTTAGGCATTGGCAGGGGGATTCCGAAACAGCAATGAGGAGCTGATGGCTGTTAACCTTTTCAGAAGCTCAAGACAGATAACTTCCTCTACGGCTGCCTCCCATTCCCACCTCCTCCTGCTGTTACCATCATTGCCAGTGCTAAGGGCATTCTGAGACAACACACACACACACACACACACACACACACACACACACACACACGCACACACACGCGCGCGCGCGCACACACGAACACACTCCAAGTTACTACTGTTTCAGCCACTCAGATAAAGAGAATTGTTGACCCTCTTTATTTTGGGTCAATATTTAAACTCCTCTTTCCTGTTCAAGGGTGAGTTTGCCATAGCCTACAATAGCACATACACAAGATTAGAAAGTTGCGAACCAAAATCACATTATTTTCACAGACTCATTTTCTTAGAATAATTAAAGTAAATGATTTCACTTGAATTGTTAGATGTATCCCTCAACAGTAAATCTTTATAAACAGTAAGTTTTTATGCAAAATTGTTCAGTTTGATTGTGTTCTAGTGTTTTCTTACACTAATGAATGCCTTTTTCTGAATTCTGATGATGCAACTTTACATTAAATGATTTGCTTTTCTACAAAGAGAGGAGAAAACGAGTCCTCTCTTTGATGTCTAGCAAGGTGTTAAACAATAAACTTCTCTGCAAAGTCCAGTTTTTCTTTTAACTGGAAGAGATACATTATACCAAGTGGCTGAAACCTAAAGATTATGCATAAAACTTACACGTTTGGTTTTGTGAATAAATAAAATATTACATGTGAATTAAATGCTAACATATCTATCTATAACAATGTCAAGCTTCGGCTAAATAATAAAAAATGTACATGCAGAAAAATTTGTCCACTCCTCTTAAAATGGGTAGTCATTTCTACTAATAGTTCAGCAGCTGACTTAAATGAAAGGGAGAAAAGCTTACCTTGCTAAAGTCAACAGTGCTGTTTTCTCTGCTTACATCATTTTTATTTTCCACACAGGATGGGGCAGACTGTGGAGAAACAACCTGACCTGCTAAAAGAGATTGTTATTATAGAATACAAACAATTACTTACATAACTCTAGACATAGTGAGTGAAATAATGAATTAAATTAGACTAACAGATTTCTTCATGAGTTTATGAGGTAAGCATGAAGGGTCAATATAAATAGATCTGTATAAATACAAATGTTCTTATTTGTCAGTGACAGATAGAAATGGGAGAATTCAACCAAAAAAATGTAAACCAATTCTCAGATTAAAACTCTATAGCTAAACAGTTATGCTCTATGAAGACAGATCAACTACAAAAATATGTAAATTTAGTCATAGCTTTGAAACATCATTGATTTTTGAATTTCATCCAAAACTGATGATATACATATTTTAAAAAGACAAGATAGGCATCCATTATGATTTGAGTTAAATGTATAGTTTTTTTTTAAGTGTTGCTATTTATCTGAAAAGTATACAGCATATTTATAGTTTCTATTGCATCTGAAAAAACAAATGAGAAAAAATTCTTTGGCAATAACTTTTAGAGATTTCTACATGAAAGTTTCAGTTAGAAATACCTTTACCTCACACAGTACGAACACTGAGACTATGATTTTACGCTTATCACTATTTGATTGCATAAGCATACTGCTATTGGTCTGCAGAAAAAGATCAATAAACTTCAATTGTATTACTTTTCCATTAACACTAACCAGCAACTTAATTATTTTGTCATCTTTCCCAATTATAGGGAAGCTTATGATATTAATTAAGTGAACAGTAAGACTGGGGACATGACAATGGCTAGCATATTCCATTATTCACTAATTATGAAACTTTTTTTTCAATTTATCTGTAAGCTCTCCATATGTAGCAATTCAAAGATAAAAATTTATGAGGTTTGCTTAATTTCACATCTCTCTCTTCTTCCTTAACCTCTCCCCATCCTTACTTATTACTTTTGCTGTGAAACAGTGATGACAACTCAGCTTTGAAGACTCACCATATTTATGATTATAATTCAATGACTCCAAAATACTGCTCTCTCTCGTTCTCATCTTATACATCAGAAATATGCTCTTGTCTCAGCCTAGTTCTTGTCTCTACCTACCTAAATCCCAACTTCATTCAAAGTTCACCTGTAGTCTTGTCTTCCCTTATAACTTCAGTCTGTACTCATTTGAACTTCTCTAAACCACTAGCACATATACAAATAAAACCTTTTCTTTAAATTCTCTCATGAAATACAACTTATATTTTGTTATCTAGAAATTACCAAGTTTTATTTAAAACACTGATAACTTACTTTAAAATATTATTAGAATTTCACTTTCTGAACTATTAATCCTCTCAGGCAGGAGTCACTTATTAATAGATACAATTTTTTATGGTTTAAAATTTTATATTGACAGAAAGTTAATGGGCTTAAGATTCTTCTAGAACTGAAATATTTATTTTCTTTCACTAACCAAAGTAAAATAATACACTTGGTGAAGATTTTTAAAATGACTTTTTAAAGCAAATTCACTTCAAACTATCTACACAAAATCTGATTATAGCATTTTCAAAGAAATATATATATATATATATATATATATATATATATAAACTTTAGAGAAATGGCATTTAAAGCTGCATCAAGTATTTTCATTCTCCCATTTCTAACTGCAATGTGCAGCTATGACTGTGAACTGTTCATTAGCAGCCATTTAATTTATCATTCTCAAAATAATAACTCTAATTAAAAAAATCTTTTACATAATGCATTTATGCTACTAACAGATGTCTTCAATCACCAGTTTCACATCATTGCTCCATATTTTCATGAGTTAGAACATTAGATATATTTAAACCTAAATTTACTGAATGTTCTGTAAAGTTGAGTGATGAAATTCAAGGCATGAAAAAATTAAACATATCTGCTTTCTTCTAATAATTCATTTTGTATGATATAAAACTACATGGAAGAACAATTGTTTAATTCAATCAGCAAACACACACAAAAAGAGTCAACCCAATGCAAAAAATCATCAACTTTGAAGAAATTTAATTGGATAGAAAACATGCTAATATTTAAAATTGAAGAAATTGAAGTCTATGTTTTCATACATAAACTTTAAAAGCAGAACATTCCATAAATTACACCTGGCTCTTATAATATGTTTAAAACATTGGCACTTGTATTTTATCTTGTACATATTAATAGACTTGGGGATTTATTGTTCTATGGTATCCTTGTTATAACATGAAAATTTTACAAAATATTGATAATCATAAAGAGATTTGAAAACTATTTCCTATGAATATTTTAAATGATATAAATAATGTCCTAGTGGAGAGTATTTAACTAGCAGGAGACATACTAGATTGCTATTTCTAGATTCTAGATATGTACATAGAATATATAGGAAAAAAGGCATTAAAACTACCACTTATGATACAGGAATATAAACCACAAATGTGGTATCTCTCATATTTCAGCAGTAATAGTTAAATGATATTAGTAAATACTAGTAGCTGAATATATTTAATCACATCGAATGTCCTACAAAGTTTCAAGAGTACTCCAAATATTATTTCTTAATATGTACATTAATTTGTAAAAAGAAGCAATACACATTAAATGTGTATATCTTCATGGTAGACTCTGAAAACTTGGCAGGATACAGAAAAATGGGTGGGTATTATTATTTAAAAATTAAACTAACAAGTTTGATTTGGGTTATTTGGAAAAAAATAAAGCTTAAAATTTTGTTTGCTATATCTATGTCTATGTCTATATCTATATCTATATCTATATCTATATCTATCAAACTAAAATCCACACAAATTATAGTCTATTCAAGTACTGGAAATCTCATGAATTAAAATAACTTTTATAATTCTATTACCACCTATAATCTTTACAGATCTAAACACTGATTTCTTTAGTTTATTCTAATTATCACTGCCCTTCAGAAGAAGGTAATGGGCTTAAATTTCAAAATGACTTTTATGAGTTCAAATACTATTACATAAGAAGAATTGATACATTTATATTTTGAAAGAGCATCCCTTATTTTTTCACTGAAGTCTAAAACAATAGTTCATAGAATGACAATTTTCAGGTATAAGATTTTAACTTCACCAGAAGTGAATATGTTTTCTAAAAGAATAACAAAGAATTTGCTAGGACATATCTCCCTCCAGAACAAAATAGTATAAAGTATATGTGTGCGAGCTTTGTGAATGCTAATTTTTATGATAATTTGTCTAATCATATGCCACAGTGCTTGTGAACATACATGTTTTTGTCTACTTCTTTATATACCATCACTTTGTCCAGTGATCCTGTCCATATTAATATATTTTATAAGTAAATGTTATTGCAATGTTTAATCACATCTGTTATGAGGCATAAAGATGACTATCCAAAAAAAATTTTAAGAAATATATTAACTCAGTAACCTTATTACTTTCAGGGTAAATTATCCAAAAACTGATAAAAATTGGACACAATTAGTATGAACTGGGAATTGTTCATGATGAAATATTTGAGAAACCTAGTATTATCCTTATAAATTTACCATTTTTTTTTTTTTTAGCTGAGCCATCCTGCTACCTGTTGGCAGCTCAGCGGCTGCTCAGCTCGGGCTGGACTCGAACCGCTGTTGCTCAGAGCTCAAACTCTTGAGCGAGCTCTTAACCAACCGAGCCACTCGGCCAGCCCAGAGCTCAAACTCTTGAGTGAGCTCTTAACCAACTGAGCCACTCGGCCGGCCCTTACCATATATGTTTATTTATCCAACCCTTTAAACTCAAAGTGTTCACCACCTTAAATCCAAATTTCTAATATATGATATACATTTTATCAATTAAAATGCATATTATTTCTAATATATGTTGTACAACTTATCAATTAAAGTGCACTTTATAGTATTCATATTAGCAACTACTTGACTTAGTTTTCTTTTGAATCATGAATTCATTTTTTTCCACTGGAGCTTCATGTAAAGATCATATATCAGTCAGATAGGAAATTATTATAGACCATATATTTTTCCAAGGCAAATCATAAAAGATGTGGGACAAGCACCAGAGAAGATTGAGAGTGATCAAGTGACTACCAACCAGAAAATGGAAGCTTTGCCTTTCTACTTGGTAGGCCATAAATTTTTCACTAACTCCACTGTGAGGCTAGCTAGCATAGACATTTCCCTTATCATAAAGTTGTGGGGGAGGAACATGAGTTCATGTCAAAAGTACTATTTTTTATTTTAAGTAACATCAGTATCATTGAAGCATCTCATTACTGAAACACAACTGTAAAACATGTTCTCAAAAAGTCTGTTAAGTATCATATTAACTCATTTAAATCCTTACCTACAGTTTTCTTCTTCTTTAAATAAATTATGTATATAAGTATTGTAAGACAGCAGCTTTTAAACTTCTATATGGCCAAATTCAAATCAATAGGAGAATAATGTATCACTTAAGTACATCCACTGAAAATCATGTGTAATAGAAGGAAACTGGGATGAAGACATGGCGGTACATTACTGTTATCCTAGAGACCAAGCTGTTACACTACCTCAGAAACCTTCAACGCATTTAGAGTACCCAAAGGGTAGGAGATGAGGGAGGTACAGAGATGAGATGAGCCTGTTAGAGACAGACACAAGACAGAGCAAAATAAAGAAATATAAAGATGAATGACAAAGTTACATACATGTGTAACAATACATTTATTCATGGGAATAGAAAACATGAAGAAAGAAAGGCTAAATATTTAGAAAATGTTGATTAAGTGAGCTTCACTTCTGAAATGTAAAAAGTATGCACATAATTAAACCTGGAGAAAAATTATTATGCATGAAAATAATTAATGTAATATAAGAAATAACAAATTTAAACACATAATACTAGAAATATTTTTGTTGTTAAAACCTAGTCTTGACATTCCAAAACTCAGTAGCAACACTACAGCCTCTGAACAGGCCCGCCAGTTGTCTCAACAATGTCATGTTGATTTTTTAAAATTTGAGACAATGGAAAATACCTTTATTACACAAAGTTTAATTCTGTCACCTTTGTGAATCTTTTAATATGTTTTATCTCAAGTAATTCTAAAAATTGTTAGTCTAGCTTTTCTTCTTCAAAGGTAGAACATTATGACGGATAATTTTTAAACTCTATCTCACTTATGAAACCATAGTATTTAAAAAACCAGAATGCATATAAATATCTAAATGCACATAGAAACATTATGCATCTGAAAAGAAAAAGTCCAACATTTGTAAAAGAAGTGATTATAAAGCAATAAAACTGATTTACAAAGGCCATAAATAAAAACCATTCACAATACATATGCGTACATTATTTTAAGGGCTGGAATCTATGCAGGTGTAAAGGCTCTACACATGTCTCATCTTTCTAAATCTAAATGTTCTCCAGTAATTCATGGTCTTGAAAGTAAGTCAGAGACCTTTTGCTCTGTAATTCCTTTTGAGATCTTAAATAAAAGTTACAACTGGAAAGTATTCAGAATAAGGTGAAAAGATATGTGAAGGAAAAGGAATTAGAATTATTAGTCAAGGACACAGGGGGATGAAGACACCCTACACTTAAGGAAACTACGAGTCCTAAATTAATTTTTATTATAGTATAAAGTTTATCACAAGGGTAATAATATGGTATAATAGATTTGTAATCCAAATGTCTTTTTTAAGCTGAGCCATCCTGCCTCCTGCTGTTGGCAGCACAGCGGCTGCTCAGCTCGGGCCAGGAATTGAACCGCTGTTGCTCAGAACTCAAACTCTTGAGCGAGCTCTTAACCAACTGAGCCACTCAGCCAGCCCTATTTCTCTTTCTAGATCATTAAACACAGACGGCTTATTTTTATTTTTAGGAAGACTAGTTTCAAGGAATTATTTGAATATTATTGATGCATGTATTTTGAGTACTTCCACTCATATCCTTTTCAGGGTTCTACTGTTAAAGAAGATATTATTTTTCTATTATTTTTTGCTTTTATTTTGCCAAATGTAACTGTCACTTTTTATTGAAACATCAGAATCAGACATTTAATTCTCACAGTTTTGATGCTTAATGAAAAGTGAAAGTTAAACACAGCATGGTGGCATTAAAAATGCATGGTGAATCCATAGCATTCTGCCTCTTAGCCCTTAAGAAAATGTGCAGAACACCAAGACAAAAAATATACAGAAAAGTAAAACTAGTGTAATATTTGAAGGTGAGATTGATAGATTACCACAAATCACTAAAAAAGTTATGAACAAAATAATTTGCACTTCGGAGGAGAGGAACAAGGAAACCACTGTCTTGTTAAGTCTAATCTATACAATGGGGATGATCCACATTTGAAATTTAGAAAGTTTAACCCTTGGGACAACTATCAAGGTAGGATGCTAAAGGAACAAGTCAATTAAGGAAGCAGAAATCTTATTCTATATAATTCTTTTAGACTTCTTTACATGAGCATCCGTTGGTTGTTGAAGGAATTTCCATTGATTTGCCTCTAAAGTAAAAGTACATTAAGCAAGGCAGGGATTATTTCTATCCTATGCTTGGGAAAAAAATGTTTTCTCTTTCCAAGTTTCTAGAAAATCCTCACTCTAATCCTTATTTTATAATCTTAAAAGGAAAGTCAATCTTTTTATAGGAAATATTCTACTGAAGAGATTTTTTTAAATAATTAAAATATTATTATTCCCTTTTGTATATCTTGAAATTCTTTCCCATCTCTCTGTACTACTGCACAAAAATATTAAACCTCTACTGCATATTTTGAAACAGAATATAAAATCTATGTTTATGGCTATGATTTTTTATTTGTTTGTTTATCTAGAGTTTGTCAGTTTTTAGAGTTCATAAGTAGATTGAGAACCTTAGTAATAAAGGTCTTTCACACTATTTTTACTCCTGGGTAGGAGATTTATTTCTAAATTGGTGAAGTCTATACATATTTTCAGTATGCTCAACACACATAATTATGCAAAGTGTGTGAGGAAGCAAACAGAGTCACAAGGAAGTGTTATAAGCTTAGGCTTAGAAAACTACTTCTGACAGCATAGTCTCCAACAATACTTAATTGGCTATAGGAATATTATTAGAAATGTTTCCAAGTTTTTATTACCTAATGTATGCCTCAAAAGGGTCTATATATGTTCATATAAAGGCTGACTGTATAGATAGTAACAGAATAACTTCAGAACTAATATTCAAGTTTTCAAAAAAACTACGCAGTTACCTGGACAAGACAAAAAACAGGATCTCAGAAAACTTTGTATCTATAGCTATATGCAGATCTGTGAATCAAGGCTATAATTCTATCATGTCTTTTTATGTTTAACAGAAGTTTAAAGCAGTAACAAATAGTGTGTCCATGTTTGCATGATATTACAATATATAGTTCACCCAGTAAATTCAGTACCCTCTTACCTTCAAAAATAAAATACATGGAAATTATTTTGTAGCAAACACCGTCACCCATAAAATTTGAGATATAAATTATGGCCGGTTCACAGCCCAAGATCCTTGCATCTTTGAATAAATACATATCCTTATTATAGACATCAGATAATATTTTATTATCTGATTCCCAGCAAAAGTAATGAAATGAAGGCAGAAGTTTATTTCTAAATGTGCTTGCATTCACAGAGAGTTAATTTATGGGAATATTTTAATGAGGTTTTTGGAATAATGTAAACATAAGTCCATAGTCAAAATTAGTAAATATCTCAGTCTATTTCCTTAATATCATCATACTAAATAAATACTAGTATTGCAAGCATAGTAAAAAAATGCTACATTTATAGTAAGTTTCAGAATATAAGAGCCTCATTTTGATGTCATTATATTTTAAAGCAAATTGTGATTCATAATATGAATATATTTTATATATACGAGGGGATTCAAATCAAGTTATAAATTTTAAAGATGTTCAGTGGAATCTACAAATACAAATTGGTATAGACCATAAAATGCTTATGATATTTTTATTGAGCTTAATATAGTCACAACTATGGACTATTCATATAACAGTGACTTACATTAAGTCATTTAAGGGTCTTTAAAAAATCAAATGAGTATTTCAAAAATCATTTTGCTATTAAGAACTGGTTCTAGGTTCTGAGAAAACAGTACATCTAACCATCTTCATTGATTTATTTAAAGCATTATTCTACTTGCTTGTGTATATTTGATTTAGTAGTAGGAAAATTGGTAAAAATTCCCATATAAAGTGAAATCTGAAGAAAGTTCATTTTCATTCATTTGTCTTTAAGGCATCTCTGAAGCTTTTTAAAATAGGAGTGAAATCATATAAAATAATTCATGCTGACAATATATGTACCTTAGCCCATTTGTGGAATTCAGAGTTGTTCTAGTAAAGCATTTGAAATTATAATACTTTTCATTAATATTTATCTTTTAAAACTGGGAACTGACGGAAGTCTAACAAATTCATATTATCCTCATGATAGCTTCATTTTCCTTCACAAGACAAATGGAAAGGATGGATAATAACAAGAGATTCTTAAGCAACTTCCTTAGTATAAATGCTGAAGGGTCAAATGGATGCAAGGAGGAACAAAATACAAAGGAAGGATAAAACAGTCTGAGGCACAAACCACAGGGAGTACGTCATGCTTGCTAGGAAACTAAAATTGGTGTCATCACTGTTGGTGTGAGAAGGTGGTTAGTGCGTAGCTTTATGGGTGTTGAAAATGCAGCACTGAGAACAGCAATGAGCCCATGACTTGGAAATCAGGCTTAGGCAAGGCTCTAGCTGTTCTTTTCCATCGTATTCTCTCGTGGAATTGTTGGCTACGAGCAACATGAAACCAGTGTCTTTATTCCACAAACACTAAATGGCGATCATATTCATTTTATAATAACTAAAAGGCCATAAGTCAAAGCATTGCATTACATTCTCAAGCTACGGGACAAAGACTAGGACCTTCTTTGAGATACAGTTGATGCTCCATTTATGTTTGTTGCATTTGAGTCTATAACTTCTTATTAGATAAAATTTTCACTTGCATTATTTCATAAGCCTTTCAGGAAACTTAAATTCTTGTTGAAATTTCTACTATTTGATGCTTAATAATAAGACTATATATGTATATGAATAAAAAAACAATTTAACTACCACAATCTTAACTTCAATAGATCATTTTCAAATAAAATGTACTTTACAGGATTAGAAGCACTTTGATATTTGAAACACCTATAGCAAACATAAAGAGTACAATAAAGAAACATTTACCATTTTTATCCATGGAATTCGGTTCCGATTGTTTTTTGCCAATATCAGCAAAGGAACGGACAATGGGAATTCTATTGGTGAGTTTTTTCTGATTCTGGTGGTGATGCTGTTTCATCAGTGCCTCGTGGACCCTGTGGCGTACATCCTCATTGAGCTGACCTGAGCTCACCTGTTGGTCGAGGACCATGTCTGAAGAGGAAAGGCAGGAGGAAGATTAGAAAAGCTGACCCTGTGCTGTGCCAGCAGTGAACCACTGAGCCTACATCTCCATACACTGGTTAACATTATTCAACTTAAAATAGGAATGAATCCTTTACAAATCTCTAAGTATGGTCTTACAAACAGAAGTTTATCTTTGCAGCAATGTTGCCCAAGAAAGTCTTGGGAAATTTTTTATTATAAACCATTCAATTTTAAATATGTAATGAGCTTATAGAGTATTATTTTTCAAATAGACATAGTTGTATTGAGAACAAAGTGCTTCATACTTATATTTTAATATGGTTTTTCTCCCTTTTTTAGCAGAGAATAATTTCCAGGTTTCCTCCTTAAGTGAGCAAAAGTCCATCTGTAAAAACCTGATGCAAGGGTTCCCTTTTCTCCACATCCTTGCCAGCACTTGTTGTTTGTTGATTTATTGATGATAGCCATTCTGACCAGAATGAGGTGGTATCTCATTTTGGTTTTTATTTGTATTTCTCTAATGATTAATAAGGTTGAACATTTTTTCAAGATTGCCATGGGGATACAAAAGACAGGTGAGAAAATATAATCAATAATGCTGTAAAGATTTTGTAGGGTATCTGATGGACACTTGTCTTATTAGGGAGACCACTTCATGGACGGTGTAGATGCCAGATCACTGCAGTGTACACGTGAAGGTGAAGTTGAATAATACTGAATGTCAACTATAACTTTATATATATATATATATATAGTCACAAGATGTGGAGTACAGCATAGGGAATAGAGTCAGTGGAATTGTAATAGATATATACAATGTCAGAAGGGCAATAGTTTGGGGGAGGGGGGTTATCACTTTGTGAAGGGTGAAATGTATAACTACTGTATTGTTTTGCATACTTGAAACTAATTTAAAAAAATCTGACACAGGCTGCTTAGGCAGCTATCTAGTTGGTTGCATTTGGAGAGTAAAGAACTGTTTCACATTGATATAAAGTTAGTCTTCTTAAACCTTCATTTAAAATGTGTTTATATTTAAAAGATCTTCTATAACCATAAAACAAAGAATAAAAGGTGAAATTTCAGACAGCTGTAATTAAGAAGATTAATATTTACCATATGTAGTGTCAGAAATGCCTATACAATAAGTAAATGAATAAAGACATTTTAAGTTTCTTGGTAATATAAAGATCACCTCAACAGTGTAATTAACCTGCTCTTAGATTAAATATTAACTCTATTTGATTTTTTGAGACACTAATTCCTTGTATGAAGCACGCAGATCACAATGAACTGCCTTTCATTGCCCTACTGAAGACACTAAAATTTGAAAATTCTCAGAATTCTCCTTTATAAACAATCTTTTCCTTCAATGTGAAAGGGAAATGGACGATGGAACCAGACATGGGTCTCTGTATCACATTCCAGCTGTGTGGCCTTGTAAATTTGAATAATCTGAGGGTCTTTACTTGTAAATTGGAGATAATATCTATCTCATACGTCGTTGCCAGGACTAAGGACATAAGGCACATAATGCACTGATTACAATATCGAGGCCCCAGTAAATATTTCCCAGTACAAGATTTCCTTCACAATTTCCATTAAGTAGGTTATGGGTCCCTGGTTTGAATTTTGGGGTTGTAATATGATTTTAATACATCCATCTCTATTTTATAATAGTATATCAAGTGGAGGTAAAGTTGGGTTTATCAATAAAAGAAAACCCAAATCAAATCATCTAAAACAATGACTTGCTGGGGCTCACATAACAAAAAGATCAAAGCTAGGCTGAATTTAATTCCCTTTCTCTGTGATTCTGTCAGCTTTCCCTTCCTCTAGGTGTGAGCTTCAATCTTAGGCTGATTTTCCTTATTGTCATAAGGCAGCTGCCAGAAACAACAAGGAAATACATATTTTTGTTCATATCTTTGCCTTTTTGTGACTTTCTCGTAAAAGCAAAGTGATTTTTCCCCTGCCCAGGAAAACTTTTCCTATGTCCAACTGACATAACCTTATGCTGAGCTAGTCACTGGCAAAGATGATGAGCCCCATGATTGGCGTAGACTCACCAAGAACTGCCCTTCATTCAGGAGTCAGTTCTCTAAACCAGAGGCAGACAAATGTTTTCTGTAACAGGCCAGGTAATAAATATTTTAGACTCTGTGGACCATACAGTCACTGTCAAAACTAATCAACTCTGCCTTTATAGCATGGAAGTAGTTATAGACAACATGTACACAAATAAGCATAGCGGTATTTCAATAAAACTTTGTTATGGACACTGAAATTTGAATTTCACGTCACAAAATATTAATCTTCCTTTTACTATTTTTTAATCATGTAAAATGTAATAACCATTCTTAGCTCATAAATCTGACAAAATCAGGGAGTGGGCTATATTTGCACATAGAGTATAATTTGCTAAACTTCGATCTATGAATTGGCTCTTTACAATGGAAAGAGATAGAATGCAAGTTTGGGAGTCAGCTATAATGTAATGTTCAACATAATTACTTCCAAAGTCCCTTCCAATTCTGAAAATACATGATAATATAGAATATTTGATCTATATCTAAGTTCTTTGGCAATCAGTAGTTATAACACTCATGGATTAATTTGAAATAAAGGAAATGATAAATTGTCAATATACATAACTTTACACTGAAACCTTGCTAAGATGGAAAATTGTATGAAAAATATGCATTATACACTTCATAATGGGAGTTGCAAAGTAGGTTATTAAAACACCAAAGGGATATCATCATAAGGCAGTTTCTTTCATCTGTAAGCCATGATATGTATCCCCAGTTCAATATTCTAATCAGAATCAAAATGAATCATATAATAAACCATGTACATGGTTATAATTTTTAATTCCTACTAAAGTACAGTAGGAATTTCCAGGCTTGAGCACGACAAAAACCGCAAGTCACTAGCTTCACAGCTTTTCAGAGATAAGGTCTTTATTTGAAACAGTTAAATAAGAGAAAGCAAATAGAAAACAAAAAACAAAACAAAAAAAACCCCACTCATCTGCTCATTAGTCACACAGAAATACACAGTAGACTCCTCTGAGGTAAAACTGCATCAAACAATACCTTAATGAACTGGAAAAGTTAATCATCTTGCTTAAGAATATAAATTATACTGAGGTGAGATTTAAGTAGCAAAGGGAGTCTGATTCACTAATCACATTGTTCTCTTCACCACTATAATATACTCCTATGTTAGTATTAAACTTGAAGAGTAGGAAAGGATAATGGGCCATAATGGCTTTGGGCTCACAGTCAAGTCCTACAATCTCAGCAGGCTCTGATGCCTAAATCACAGTCTAGCCTGCCAAAGCACAAAGCCAGGATCTGGATGATAAGAGAAGCAAAAAGATAAAAGATAAATAGGTTGCAGTCTTCTTGCACTGAGCTGGCTCTGGAAACACTAGTAGCATTTGTACAAAAAGGCCTCAGAAAATGAAAAATTATTTTGCATCCTAATCAGGCAATTACTTTATCATGATTAGTCCACCTTGACTGAATAAAAGCCTCTAAGATTATGAGACTTTACAGATTCTATATAAATCTCTGATCTCTTTAAAGATTGTCTTATACAGCCCTTGTTGTAAAAACCCATTGTCTTAACTTTAAAAGGTGCTGGGAGGAGTGGAAAATGGAAACTACTATGAGAATACTTACTTTCCAGACCAAGGACAGTAATGTTAAAAAATATATAATTATTCCCATACCCTCAAATTTACAAATTACATTCAGTGGAGCAAACTATGCATTTTTACTTCAATGAAAAGATTTTAGACAATAAAAGTTATTTTATTGAGTTGAGAGCAATATTTGATCATCTGTCCATGGTACTAACTTTGGTTTAGTTTTAATTTCTTACTCTCATTGACAGAATTAGTTTAAAGTATACACACTGCAGAAAGAATACTGGAATGATTCTTTTTTATAGTGCTGAATTTCAATGAGATTAAATAGACCAAAAAATTGCCTATGATTTATATGACTATAATTAAGAAGTATTTTTAATGTAATGAATCTCCACATCAGAATAAATCATGGTAAGAAAATACATCTGGAGAACTTTGGATTTGAAATGGTTACGTAATATTTTGAAGGAAGAAGTTTAAATTTTTCTGAGTTCCCTGAAACATTGGGAAATAGACTTTTTTAAATTAACTTTATCCAAAAGAAAATCCTACTTTAATTATACCAGAAATTCTTGACAGACCTGCCGGATACAAATGGGATTTTCTCCTGCTAAGTCTATAAAATCTCTTTAAAGAATTATCTAAGAGTCTATTAAAAACATATCAGAACATTGATATAAAAATCCTTCATCATTTTAAAACAATACCTGGATCATATTTCTCTGCTAGAAAATATCTAGAAAACATTAATGCTGCAGAGCCTGTGTACGTGCAAAGTACTAGGGTTTAGAGCCCTTAAAGATAAACTCTTATACCTAGCTTTTGGAAAATTGAAACTAGTGACTAATAAGTTAGTAACTGCCTATCATGTAGAAAAATATAAGTAAGAGGCAAAGAAAAAAATTCCGGTCTTTGTGTTTATTAATCACTATGGTCACAAGGTATCATGAAATAAAACAAAACAAAATTTATAATTATAGATTAATCAAAAAATTATTCCGATCTCTGCAAGTGGCACCTGTGATGTATCACTTTCTGTTTATCAGTTTATAAAATGGGAGAAATAGCTCCTCCCTACCTCATAAAGTTGATTTGATAATCAAATACAATAAATGGATGTGAAAATACTCTACAAAGTTAGAAGTCTTAAATAAAAAGCAAAGTTATTTATTACACACTTGTTAATACAGCTTAATTGTCACAAAGGAAAAATAGCAGTAAGTAAACAATAATAAATAATCATGACCTATAGGAAAAATGTTTACATGAGGCTTTATTGAATTTACCTTTAGATTCAATAAATCAAATCAAAATTACTCAAAGAGAGAGAATCTCTTTTTATTAATAATTGAAAAGGAGTCTAAGGTCATAATGATCAACACAAGTATTTGTAATCATGTTTTTCTATGTGGTATTACCTCTAAACTATTCACATGTTACGAATGACATTTTGCTGGCTGATCTACATTGAAAATGGGACATTCAAGTTAGGCTATTTTGGAGACAGAAAGATACAGACTAATTAGAAGAGCAGAAAGAATACTAAAAAGCTATTGGGATATTGAGGCTTCATTTGTAAAGACAGACTTAGAAACTATAATTTGCTTTTAAAAGCTAGATTTAACACAGCTTACAACCTTTACATATTCTACAGAATTGAGTTTGGGGAAGGGACTAAGGTTAGGGAAAAGAAGTATAAATTTAGACAATAAAAATGAGCTAAGGTGATAAAATAAACAACAGAGTTTTAGTCAAGTTAATCGGACAAGGTTTTTTTGGTAGGAATAAATTCCTAAAGAAAGCAGTGGAAATTATATGCTTTAAGAACTATAAAGCCTGGTGAAACCATGAAGGGTATTTTCCGAGGCTAATTTTGCCAGCTTGAAGAATTTGACAGCTTCATTACATGTAGTCAGCCCAACATTCATTTGGATTAATCCATTTTCAAAGGCAATGCCATCACTGACATAAGTAGCAGAAATAAACGCGTTGGGAGCAAGGCTTTTAATCTTCTGAATTTCAGTTTCTTTATTTATGAAGTAAGGATAACAATAATGATGCTAAGCCCCAAGTTTGTTTTGAGTATCAAAAACACAGTGTAGAATTACCAAAAAGAGCTTCCTAAACTGCGAAGAGTTTCCTAACTGCAAACTATTATGAAAAGCCCAGCCATTTGATTCCTAATTAAAACACAAAAATGCTTATTGGGGAATTTCATGGGAGGTAGGTTCAAGATGACAGTTAGCAAGACTCTGAACTCACCTCTTCCCATGGACACACCTAACATACACCTACATACAGAGCTATTTCTTCTAAGGAAGAACTGATTAAACAGCTTCTGCACAACAAATGAGAAGGGGGACCACATTGAGAAGGGTAGGGGAGACAGAGACATGCCAACAACAGGAGCCCCACCTGAAATAGTGAGAAATATCACTGAGGGGCCTGCAAAGACTCGCTTGCCCTGGGGCACAGCAAGCAAACAGCAGCTAAAAGGGCACCTAGACTACATGTGAAGGAAACCCACTGACTAACCCTAGTGTCTGCCAAAGGGCAAGGAACAGCTAGAAGTCTCTCTAGGATCAGGGGTACCGGCAAGCGCCATTTTTTACATTCCCCCTCCACCTGATAGAGTGGGTGGGTGCACCATCCAGACACGTGAGCCACCCTGCCAAGGCTGCCCCAGTGCACCCGAGGCTGGGAGCCTACACCAGCTGGAGCTGTTCTGCCATGTCATCCCCAGTGCTACACACTTTGGAACACCTATGGCTCATGCCTACTCTAGCTCCAGCTGTCTTGCCACGATGACCCCAGTGCAGCATGCCCTGGGACACCTCAGCCCATGTCCACTCCAACTCCAGTCACCTTATGAAGGCAGCCCCAATTCAGTGTGCTCCAAGGCTATCTTATACCACATACAAAAACATATTCAAAATGGAATAAAGACTCGAATATAAGACCAGAAATCACAGAACTCTTAGAATAAAACTTAGGCAATAAACTCTTTGACATCTGTCTTAGCAATATTTTTTGCCCAGTTCCTCAGACAAGGGCAGTGAAAGCAAAAATAAACAAGTGTGATTACATCAAACTAAGAAAGCTTTTGCGCAGCAAATGGAACCATCAAGGAAATAAAAAAGCAATGTACAGGGCCAGCTGAGTGGCTCAGTTGGTTAAGAGCTCACTCAAGAGTGTGAGCTCTGAGCAACAGGGTCGCTGGTTCAATTCCTGGCCTGAGCTGAGCTGCTGCTGAGCTGCCAACAGGTGGCAGGATGGCTCAGCTAAAACAAACAAACAAACAACAACAACAACAAAAAACAATGTACAGAATGGGAGAAAATATTTCAATTGTACACCTGATAATGGGTTAATATCCAAAATATATAAAGAACTTAATATCAAAAACAAAAAACAACCCAACTGAAAAATGAGTTGCATAGACATTGTTCCAAAAAAGACAGATGGTTAACTGGCACATGAAAAGGTGTTCTACATCATTAATCATCAAAACTACAATGAAGTATCACTTCACACCTGTCAGAATGGCTATTATCAATAAGACAAAAAAATAGCAAGTGTTGGCAAAGATGTATAGAAAAGGGAACCCTCAGACACAGTTAGTAAGAATATAAAATGGTGCAGCCACTATGGAAAACAGTATGGAGATGCCTCAAAAAAATTAAAAATAGAACTAGCAATTCCACTGCTGGGTATTTATCTGAAGAAATGAAAAACACTTATATGAAGAGATAATTGCACCTTTATGTTCACTGCAGCATTATTTACAATACCAAATATTGAAGCAACTTACTGTCTAGCAATAGTTGAATGGATAAAGATGTGGTATATAAATACAATGGAATGTTAGTCAATCATAAAAATATGACATCTTGTTATTTGCAACAAAATGGATAGACCTAGAGGGTATTATGCTAAGTGACTTAAGTCAGGCAGAGAAACACAAATAAAGTATGATTTCACTTACATGTGGGATCTAAAAAACAAAACAAATGAACAAACAAATCAAATCAGAAACAGACTCACAGGGAAAAACTTGAGGAGAAGGGGTTGGGGCAGGTGAAATAGACAAATAAGATTAAAAGGTACAAACTTCCAGTTATAAAATAAATGTCCTAGGGATATAATGTATAGCATAGGGTACATAGTTAATAATATTGTAATAACTTTGTGTAACAGATAGTCACTAGACATATCAATGTATATAAATATCAAATCACTATGGTGTACACTTGAAACTAACAGAATATTGCATATCAATTATACATCAATGAAAAAAAATGTATTGGATATTAGCAAGACCCCATAATGTAAGGCTAAGAAATTGAGTGGACGGCTACTATGTCAACATTCACAGGAAGTTTGCTAATTTCTAAGTTAACCATTTTCTTTAAGTCTTGACTTAGTATGACATACTACTGAGTGTTATGTTCTTCTAAAAAGTATACTATATTTAACGTTATACAGTCTTGTATGTCTAGTTAGATATTCTAAAGGATAACCTCTTTATAGGTGTGTGTGAAACAGAGGAGGAAGGCTGATCTATTCTGTTTTTTGTTTTTGATTAACATTGTAAGTCAAGATATCGTTCCATACTTTTCTTTTCACACATACCACACTTTATGCACACCTATCAGCACCAACAACCAAATAAATCATTTTTAAATTAATCAAACCACCATTAAAATTTGGGCAACATCCACTGCAAGCCTACTCTTCGTTAAACAGTGGTGGCAGCTTAACTGGAAGAACATAGATCTAAAGCAAGAGGACCTTAGATGAAACCTAGGCTGTAAAAGTTTCAGAATTTCTATTTTCTCATTCAAAATGGGAATGACAGTTACTTCACATGGCTATTCAGAGGATTAAATTAAATACATTATTTTTCTAACAATATTCTCTCAATTATGTGATCAAAAACACACAGGTTTTTCTTTTCTTTTTTTCCCATCTCTACAATATAATTCAGACAGTGAAGTCCCTCTTAAGTCTTTCTACTTCACAAATAAATTCCACATCTACATGGAGCCGCTTTTTTATTTTTCTCCAAACTAGGAGCTTTTTAAAAGCTGCTCAAGCCGTTGTTAAAATCTTCATTAACCATTTCATTTATACTCTTTCAAAAATCATTTCTGTGTTTTTTGTAGTATTTTGTTTTCACTAAAATGTTTGTTTGCCAGATCAAAAGACACATGAGTTCTTTGCCTCCATTTCTAGAATAACAGTAAGATGCTTTCTAAATGTCACTGCTTGTGTAGCCTTAATAGGCTTCTAATACAAATCATTCATTCCAGGGGCCTGTCATTGTATTATATTACAAACTAATCTCAACTGCACTGCTTGGCGTCCTCTGGGATTCAAGAGTTTTCTTTCAGTTTCAAATAAATGATCATACCTTTCTGTTCTTTTCTAAACTAACATATTTCTCTTTTACTGATTTTTTCTCATTTGGTTATTTCATGTATTTGAATACTGAAAAAATAAACCTCTAGCTTTATGGGGTTTTTTCCTTCGATTTTTTTAATGGTGACAGTCTAATTAAACATGATACTGAAAAACATTCAATACTAAATGGTTGTCAGGATATCTGGGTTCTGGTTCTAGGTTTGCCACTGGACCAGTTAGACCATATTTCTGTGAGATTCAACTTGTTTTATCTTAAATAAAAGGGTAGACGAAAATTATTTTTAAGGTCTCATATGCTGATCATGAGAATTTGTTTTCCAAAGGTCGTGCATGTATAGAATTATAAAGGAAAGGTAATAACAAAAATCAGCTGTAGCCATAAGCATGCAATAGGCTAAGGGGGGAAAGAAAGACATACCTGCAATTTCTTCTAAAGTATTGGCATGCATGTCCAGTAACACGGTTCCATTCAGAATACAACTTCTCAGCTCAAATAGGCTGTGCAGTGAGAGAGTAGCCACATAAGGCTTGCTCCACCTCTCTCCTCCATCTTCCACATCTTCTTCAAACTTCAACCACCTACACAAATAAATACTATCAGCACACTGAAGACTTTATTGTAGACCTATGATCCTTTATCCAAATAATAAAAGGCAGAAATAGAAAGATATTCACATTGCTTTTTGGTTTCATGGGTTTGGGAAGTACGTGAAAGCTAGCCCAAGTCACTCAGTTTTCATTTTCATTCCATTTAACAAACATTCTTTTTGTCATTGAAAGATACATTGAAAAAAAAACTCCTATATCATCTCATATATCATTTTTATTAGTTTGTCTAGCTCTGAAAAAAGATTTTAATATAAATGTTAATCAGTGGTCACAGTGAATCTGTAGTAGAACTACAAACAAGAGTATACTTCATGGCAAAATAATGGTAGTTGAAAGATACAACAGAAAATAAAAGAATTCTCATTATTTTTTTTTTAGGGGGAGGTCTTAACACTGAATATCTGAGTCTCCATAGTTTTTCGATTTGATTAGGAAGGCTAATATAACTTGGGGCCTAGTCTATAAGAAAAATACTTATTAGGTCTGTTTGGATAAAATCAAGTGATTGCAGTCACCTCCTAGGACTAAACATATGAGAACTGAGATGGGTCCCCATTGCCTGAGGCTTCCAGCCAGGGATGGAGAATGGGGAAGAACCTTGATATCATGGTGCCAAATGGCACACCACTGCTTTCTTGGAGTGAAATGAAGAGCAATATCTGAGATTGTGTCTAAGTAAGATAAATGGAAGGAGTAAAGCGAAGCCAATGATTTTACTGCTCTGGCACAAGCACTAAATGTCTTATTCTTTTAGGGACTTGCCCTCTGATTCTAGAAGATGACCAATTTAATTCCACCATTTCTAATAAATCCTAGCATAAATTGCCTTTCCTTCTCCATCCCCCACCATTTTCCTCATTCCTTCTAGCCTTAGTCATTTTTGCCCTGACTTCCTCTCTCCATGCAAGATCACTCAAATTCTCTATATGATATTATATTACTGCTTTATGCAATCAAACATTCCAATTCCAACAGAGGACAAATATGTTGCTGTAACTAGTTAGGGAAACAGTGGATCAGCCAAAAATAACTAACCAAAAGGGCTAGTCAGAATGATTAATGTACAGAGTTCCAAGAAAGATAAAGAAAGCTATGAATCTGTCCTCAGTATTCAGGGAGCAAGGAGTTTTCAGCACATGAAAAGAAAAGCGATACGGAAGAATGGCTGTGCCTGCTAAAAGTTTACAGATATGGAAGGCTAACTCTGCTTACCGTAAATGTATAAAACACCTAAAGGTCAAAAAAGCTTACATTTAGGCCCTAAATCACTGACAGTATCTCTTTGGTGCTGGCAATTTTATAGCATATTTTTGTCTACACAGTTGGACATTTTTCATATTAGTGATTTTTAATGTTTTACAACCCTTAACAGGGCCATAATACTTCCTAAATCATGTAATAGTCATAGTACTATCCATCAAGCATAATTAGTTCTCTCTCTTTTCCTAGGAAAGAATAGGATGTCACTACTTAGTTCCCATCTAATATAAATATAAATATAAATATAAATAAATATAAATATAAAAATATAAATATAATATAAATATAAACAAAATTTATATTGTTTCTTAATTAATCTATAAACTGACTGTTGACTAGCTCTGGACACTAAATTGTGAGCAGGCATTATGTGTGTCACTTGCAGGCTGGAGTATTTAACAGCCAGGATAAGATACTCTGGAGCTGTCTCTTCCCCCGATGTGGCCACCAGAAATGCTCAAGATGGAGGCAGCTCCACCAGCTGAGGCCTCTCAGTAATTACAGTGAACACATGTGCAGAACCTCTCCTGATCCACGATGGACATGTATCACAGGCCATAAAAAGCCTTTGTGATTTTAAGCCATTGAGACTGCAGGATATTTTTTTCTAACATAATTCAGTCTGCCCCAACTGATATAGATCACCATTTTAGCTATTCATATCAGCATCCAAATCTTAATGAAAATGAATGATGAGAGTAAGAATGATTTTAATAAATGTTAAAAATTAGTATTTCTTGCCAGATATAAAAGTAAGGCCACAGTCACATTATGAATGTCAATCTCTCAAAGGACCCACCTCTTGCAGACATCTGAGATGGGACAGTGTTATGGAAAGTGTCTTGGACTAATTGGGAATAAAAAGAAATCTAGGTTTTGTCCCTACTCTATAGCTAAATTGCCATGTGACCAAAGGAAAGAAAATCTTTCCATTTCTCTGGGCCACATTGTTCTCATCTGTGAAACGATGAGACAAACTCAACACATGAAAAACTTGTCCAAGATCACCTAGCCAGTGACCTTGTCAAACCAGAGTCAATTCCAAGTTGTTGCTATTTTTCTCCAGAGTCTGGACCCATTTTCCACCACAATACAATTATTTTGGTTGAATTTATAGGCTTTTTCAGCTCAAATAACTTTTGCTAATGCCTGGAAACAACTGATTTAACATTTGATTTTCATCCTTGTCTAGAACAAACCTCAAGTTGAAAAATGTTCTCTGTTCTCTTCCTCTTTTTATATTATCCACAAACATGGCACCAAGAAAGTAGATGCAACTTTTATTAAATCTTCTTTCAAGTGTATACTGTTCACATATGACGTGGCTTTCAGACAAAAAGAGCAAAAGAAGGGAGTCTATACAGCAGCACTTATGCTGGTGTTATCTTGACTGAAGAACCTTGCTAGATTTGAAATCTAGTTTCTAGTCTATTGGGTGGTATAGAACACTTAAGGTTATGAAAGGGTGTGATTGTGTTTAAGGGACTACAGATTTCTCTCAATTGGAAAATGACCTCAATTAATACTTGTACAGTTGTAGTACTTTCTGTCAAACCTATATATAAAATTGCTTCTCAGGTGTTGTATTTAGAAATTTTATTCAAGTAAGAAGTCCTTAAAAGTGTTCATACATTACTAAAAACTGTATATTGTTTCTTAATTAATCTATAAACTGACCCACACAAAAATATTGGTTGTAAGTTGTCATAATACTAATAATAAATTCATTTTTAAAGTACAGGCTTTTGGATCTACATAAAATGATCAAACCCTGTCCAATAAGGAAAATTATAGTTAAATTTTATAGTTCAAGGTAACATTGAAGATGATTAAATAAGTAACAAAACACAGCATCTATATCATTTTATCTTAACTCCTTTGAAAGTAAAACTTTAAATTTTAAGAAACCTGAAAAAATGTGTGTAGTGTGATGTGTGCAGTGTGTGTGTTTGTGTATGTCTGTGTGTGTGTGTGTGTGTGTGTGTGTGTGTGTAGTTCTCTGCATTTATATCCCATGCATAGATTCAGTAACCACCACCACAATCAAGACACAAAACTGTTCCATCACCACAAAGGAGCTCCCTTATGCTACACCTTTATATTCTCAACCCTCACCCTGTTTCTGTCCCATCAATCACTAATCTGTTCTTCATCACTATTTTTGTCAGTTTAAGGATGTTACATAAATGGAATCATATAGTTTACAAGTTTTTGAGATTGACATTTTTCACTAAGCATAATGCCCTTGGGATCCATTCAAGTTGCTGTATATATTAACTGTTTGTTACTTTTTCTTGCTGAGTAGTATTCCATTGTATGGATGTACAACTTTGTTCAACCATTCATCTATTAAAGGATATTTAGATTATTTATAGGCTGTTGCTATTACAAATAAAGATGTTATAAACATTCATGTTTCTGTGTTAACACAAGTTTTCATTTCTCTGGGATAGATGCCCAAGACTGTGATTGCTGGGTAGTATAGAAAACGCATGTTTAGTTTTATAAGACACTATGTCCTAGAGTAGCTATACCATTTTACATTTATATCTGTAATGGATGACAGACCCAGTGTTTTCACATCCTCAGCAGCATTTGCTTCATGAGTATTTTTTAAATTTTAGCTATTCTATTAGGGATGCAGTAATATTTCATAGTGGCTTTATTTTGCATTTCCCTAATAGCTAATAAAGTTGAACATCTTTTTATGTGGTTATTTTCTATATGTATCTGTCCTCTTTGGTGAAATGTCTGTGTATGTTTTTCCCATTTTTCTAATTGTTTTATTTGTTTTCATACTGTTGAACTTTGAGGGTTCTTTATGTATTTTATATATTTTTGTCAAATATATGTTGCAAATGTTTTCCCTGTCTGCAGCTTGTCTTTTCATCCTCTTAACAGGGTCTCTCATAGCACAAAAGTTTTTAATTTGAGTGAAGTCCAATTTAAGAATATTTTCCTTCGGGCCGGCCGAGTGGCCCGATGGTTAAGAACTGGCTTGGGACACCAGAGGACCCCGGTTCGGATCCCACATATGAGGGCCAGTGACACTGCCCTCCACAGCTAAGATGCTGAACAACAGCTCAACCTGGAGCTGGGCTGCTGTGAGTCGCCGGCGACAGCGTAGGCTGCAGCCCCTGTGGCAGTGGGTTGCCATGGGCTACCGTGGGTAGGCAGCAGCCAGCGTGAGCGGCCAGCAGCCGCCGTGAGCGGCCGTCCAGAAACCGGCTACTGATGTGCCTCGCCCAAGAAGAGCACAATGATGATGCCAACTTGGGCCAGTGAAACAACGTCCTCCACAACTAGACTGAAGAACAAAACGACAGCAACTTGTCTGTTCCCCTTCCCCCAATTCCCCAGCACTGTTCCAATCCCCCCAATTCCCCAATAAAAAAAATCTTTAAAAAAAAAAAAAAGAATATTTTCTTTCATGGATTGTGCTTTTGGTATCATGTCTACCCCCAGATCATGAAGATTTTCTTCTACATTTTCTCTAAAATTTTCATAACTTTATGTTTTATATTTAGATTTATGACTTATTTTCAATTAATCTTTATATATACTGTGAGGTTTAGGGTTGTGATTAATTTTTTTACCTATATATGTCTAATTGTTCCAGAACACTTTTTGAAAAGGCAATGCTTCCCCCATTAATAACTTTTGTCCTTTGTCAAAATTCAGTTAGCTGTACTTATGTTGGTCTTTCTCAGTTACCTATTCTGTTCCATTGATCTATGTGTCTATCTGAAAAGACATTTTTAGAAACAAATCCGAAAGATATATTCCTTCCTTTAGAATAATTTCCTTCAAATTAGGGGCTTGGTCTTTTAGAAAAGAATGAATTTTCTGGAATTTCCAAATAGTCTAGTAGTTAAGATGACCAAATATAAGTTATATGCATGGATGGTTTGATATAGCCATAGATTTTATGAGTATTACAGGAGGAAGCAGAAGATACTTTCCATAAAAAGGAATCCACGAGTTACAAATATCAGGTTACTAAACATTTCAAGGTTTAGTGCTTCATGCCAGCTTCAGAATAATGGCAAAGGGTTTTAGATATTTAAATGAATATTTTTAAAAATTATATATACACAAATACATAAGTATATTTCCCTTTTCTGTTTTTTTTCATTCTATTTCATACTTCCAAGATAGAAAGTAATAGGTCTGGGAACATACCAAATGCTGTCTCAAGATTTGTAGTCACTGAATATACTGTGCGTTGCAAAATGCCTGATTGCAGTTAATGACCTAAAGTGCTGCAATTAATTCCAGTTTTCAAATAAACTCAGCTGACATTTGTTTGAATAGCAAATCAAAGCAAACAAGAGTCTCACAGGCATGAATGAGGAGCAATGGACAATGCAAAAAATCAAAATTATAGGCCAACTGCATGACATTTTCTATGAGGGAGAGGTGGGTTTAAACTCTGGGGTTATTTTCATTTCCTTCAGTATGTCTGGATCTGTTTTCATCCATGATTAATACATTGGAATCTCTTTGTACTAAACAACAACTTAATATAGGTGTTTCATGAATTCTTTGAGGATTAACTTGATAATAATCTCCTCTACAACACTCATACTGAAAATCTACAAAGCAGAATGTTTCTGAAAGTTAGAAATAGATTTTGTTCCATAGAAATTAACAGTTTATTCTATTCCCATGAATTCAGTAGACCTTTCCTAAGAATTTTTTATTATCTATTTCTACTATAGGATGTTAAGGAGTTACTATAGCATCAAAAAATTATAGCCTTGGGGGGAAGTCACGGATTCTCAAGAGAAAGCATCCTCTTTTGGGTGGAGTTGGGGACATGGAGGGTAGAGGAGGGACATGGTTATGGTGAGGGCTGGAGAATAACATATGTAATCATAAAGTGCCTTTTTAAGGGGAAAAGGGAAATGGAATCAATCTACCCATACCCAAACCTAGGGTTTATTGACATTAGTTGTTCTTAACCATATTAACTTCACACCTCACAATGCACTGAAAAATCTTGATGACTTGAACCTTTACTAAGTTTCGAATATCAAATGCCTTCACAGCATCAGGAAAATCACTTTGAGGTACTAATCCTTTCTGCACTACCATGTATGTATCGGAAGCCTAACTGCTACCCCCTGCTCTGCCTCTTCTGAGCTTAGTTGTAGGAAGCATTTTTGAAGGGCAACCACAGTGAGTCAAGCGTGTTGTCTCCACAGTGGCACAGCTGTGGTATCTTTGCTCACTTTTCTATTAATAACATTATACGTTATTTATAAGCAGGATGTTCTAATTGTGTTGATTTCATTAGGCCTTGTCATATGGCTCCTTTTAGGGTTTTTAAAAGTGAACAGCTGGTTTTCACAAACATTTATTAAATAATTATGATTAAAGAATTTAGCTTCAAAATCTAAAACTTTGCTCAAGTTTACTTGGCAACAACAGTGGGCATGAATTATTCAATACGTGATATATATGACAGGTGCAATGTACTGATAATATGTCCTTTTTATTTCTACTATGAAGGTAGAAAATTATTAATCTCCCCTGGAATACTAATCAAAAGAGTGAAGTGCTCCAAATGGTTATGCCAATGATTTATTAGAATTACACTGCATTTGAAAAATCAGATGGAGTCATGAATTAACTAAAATTCGCCTTTTTAAATGAACCAGGGCCACCAGAACAAAATTACTTCTGCCACTTTAAAACATTTCTAAGTCCTCAATAAATACATTCTGTTCTTTGCTGATGTATTGTGTCTTAGCCAAAATTCATCTACCCTCCTCTTCAATGTCTGTTACTATCTGATTGCTCATCAGATTTATTTCTTCCTGAGCCTCAAACAGCTACACCATGCAGAAGCATGGCTAAGAACACAGGTCCTATCTAATAATATTCACAAATACCAATACTTAACTGGATCATCTATTTTGTTCTTTATAAATAAACAGTAATATATTAAATATGTTTTCAAGTCAATCCATTAGAACATGAGAAAAATGTACCTGCTCAACTGTGACAGAGTGAAGGACTAGATTCTAGTATTGCTCTGTCACCTCCTAGCTTTATGAGATTGGGCAAGTTACAAGGAAGTTACTGGTTAAATATATAGATAAATAGATAACTATTATATTTGATCTAGAAGGTGAAAAATCACCAACCATTTTAAGAATAAGGGAGTTACTCATGCCAAAACATATTTTTCAAATCTATTTCTCAGCTCTACTATGTAGGGTGAGAGTAAAGGAATATAAAAGCAATATTTCCAAAAAGTACTTCTCACCAATAGATTAAAGACACTCTCAGTAGCCAGAGTTGTCTAGTAATCATAACCACCAGATCTCCTTCCTTCATCATTGAGGAACACCTATTTTCTTATAACCAGTTAAAGACTGAGACATCTAGCCTTAAACAGGTTGCATTCTAAATTCCTAATCAACAAATTAGATCAAAGGTTATGTCACTAATTTGTCCAGAAGATTATCAAATTTTGGTTTTGATCTTAAAAAAAGAAGATAAGTACATATATTATGTATTTTGAAAACTCCAAAGTACATAGTTTTTTATGAACTTGAAAGAAAAATATAAGGTAGGAGGTTCTTAATCTTAAAATTAACCAGGTGATATAAAAACTATTTCAACTTTAATTGATATTATAACAAAAGCATCATAAGAAAATTGATTTATTTAATGTACGTAGTTTTTTTATTAAAAAAGGTAATTCACACAGAATTACATACCACCTACTTAAGGTATTAAAAAAAGGTGAATAAAGAAATTAATGAATGATTTCTACATAAAACAGGTAAAGGAAATGAGCAGTTAGTTCACAGGAATAAAATAAAAACATATGAAAAGATGTTCAATCTCACTAGTAATTAAAGAAATGGAAGTTAAAACAATGAGGTTTATTTTTCATCTATAAAATTAGCACAAAAAAATTAAGTTTGATAATTTAGTGTGGCAAGCGTTTGGGAAAACTAAGCACCCTCATACAATGTTAATGGAAGGGTAAATTACCAAAGCATTTTATGAGAGCAATTTTTCAATATCTTCCAAAGTTAAAAAAAAAAGTCTGTTCTTTTTGGAATATAAGTGTTCTGTTAAAAATCCAACCTACATCAATAGCTAAAAAATAATGGCGAACGTGTAAATGATCACTGCAACAATGATTATAGCAAAAAATAAAAATACAAAGTAAAACAACCTAAAGCCCTTCGACTGACTAAATAAATAAATGGAAATTCATCCATATAACTAAATGTAATGGAGTCATTAAAAAGATGTCAATCTATATCTGTAATATGGAAAATGGTTCATATACGTCATTAAGTGATACTGGGAAGCTATTCTGATTCCGTTTCCTGCACCCTTGTGGTTTAAATCCTTGCTACTCAAAATGTGATCCTCAAACCAAAAACACTGGTGTGAGACATCACCTGGGAAGCTGTTAGATCCTGACAATCTATGTCAAAGGCCTGCTGAATCTACATTTCAGCAAGATTCCACATGATTTGAGTCACATTAAAATTTGGGAAGCTGAGGGTAGGTGACAATCCTAAGTGCACCCACAGTTCTTGTGCACACCTGTATCACAGCATTCATTATCCACTTACAACTCTGTTCACTTGTCTAAAGGAGGCTGTGAGATTGTTAAAGGCAGGTTCTAAGATTTTTGTTGTTGTGAAGGTTCTCTCTCCACTGTACCTGGCACATAATAGATACTTCATAAATATTTGTTATATAAATGAGCAAATGAGCAAGAATCAATAAAAAGTAAAAGCAAATTTGAGTTTATTACCTTTTTATAGCACTTCATCAACTATATGGCAATATAGTAATATTAATTACAAATGACAGAAAAAAAATTTTTTATTTTGAAAAACCACTCTCTTTAAATGTATACATATCCTAGAAACATGTTACAAAACATTTTTATCCTCACCAAATAGTACATAAATCTAGGACTATACCTAAAGCTTCTTATCATGCTTGCCTTTTCTTTAAAAAAGCCCCACACTCAAATTAGCATATAATATCACTAGCTTGGACACACGCCAGCAATTGAAAAGATAGAAATAAATTGGTTTTAGATATCTATTGTTTTCCTGATGACACACAAATTATGCTACTGTTTATCTCTAACACTGCAGCTGCTGCTGGTTCTGCATCACTATTTACTATAATTACTGCCTTCAGATCTCATTCTGACCCATATCCCATTATAGGATGTGCCCAGGACAGATGAGCAGTTTCAGAAATCAGCAGCACTCATGGGTGTTTGAAAAATCGTGGTCTTAGGGATCTGTGCTTCTAACAGTATGAAACGTCTTCAGTTATACATTGAGCTTTCCACAGAAATCCTCACCTGGCCGTTTCTCGCCACTCCGCATCCTCTCCTTCACGCCAGCAAATCTCATCCAGCTCCGTGAAGAGGTCGTGAGGAATGTGTTCTTCATCGTCATCCTCAGTGCCAAGAATAAACTGCACCCGCTGAGACGGGGTGTCTGAGGAGAATCAGAGACATGAACATGCATTACTGTGGCTTCGAGCTTAAAATGTCACCGCCTCCATCACCACGCCAAACTCACACCTCCCGTGGCCCACCGCAACACTAGTCTAAACTCTGGAAATTAAAACTTAAGTGTAGCCTTACATGAAGTCTAGCATAATCTGGGAGCATAAATATGTCAAAGGTAAACATATAATGTATAGATAGTATAAAAAATATAAAGGTGATGTGCATTTTGGATTATTTGTAACGCTCATGGAAACTACTATTTCTCACACACACATACTCACATCTCTCGTCATATACGCTATATTTTATGGTAATAGTCAGAAGAGTAGATTATGATAAAAGTCACTTATACTAAAACTATGCTGAATAAGATTCACCTTAGTGAATCTTAATAGTGAATCTTCACATAAGAACTCCCCTGTGATGCTTCTTTACAGACACTCCCTCATCCCCCCAACTAACCCCTGGCAATTACTATCTGGTCTTCACCGCTTACAGTTTTGCCTTTTCTAGAATGTCATATAAATGGGAAAAAAAATAACCTTTTGAGTCTGTCATTATTCACTTAGCATAACGCCTTTGCGATTTTGAGGTTTATCTGTGTCACTGAGTGCATCAGCAGTTCACTGTTTTTATTGCTGAGTGATAGTCCATTGTAGAAATGTACCACAGTTTTGTTTTGTTTGTTTTTTTTTAAGATTTTTATTGGGGAATTGGAACAGCGCTAGGGAATTGGGGGAAGGTGAACAGACAAGTTGTTATCCTTTTGTTCTTCTAGTCTAGTTGTGGAGGACGTTGCTTCACTGGCCCAAGTTGGCACCATCATTGCGCTCCTCCCGGGCGATCAGTCACAGGCTTCTGGAAGGCACTCACGCTGGCTGCTGGCTACACACAGTAGCCCATGGCAACCGACTGCAGCAGGGGCTGCAGCCCCTTGAGGGCGACTCAGGCAACCCAGCTCAAGATTGAGCTGTTGTTCAGCATCTTAGCTGTAGAAGGCAGTGTCACTGGCCCTCATATGTGGGATCTGAACTGGGGCTCTCTGGCGTCCCAAGCCAGCTCTTAACCAATGTGCCACTCGGCTGGCCCTGTACCACAGTTTGTTTATCCACCCATCTGTTGAAGGATATTTAGGTTGTTTCCAGTTTGGAGCAATTTTGAATAGAACTGCTGTAAGTATTCTTGTACAGGTTTTTCTATTGAACATAAGTTTTTTATTTCTCTAGGTAAATAGCTAGGAGTAGGATTGCTGGTTATATGGTTAAAATAACTTTATTAGACACTGCCTAATTGCTTTCCAGAGCGTCTATGCATATGCATCCCCAGCAGCAATGCATGAGAGCTGCAGTTGCTCCCCATTTTACCAGCATCTGGTCTTATCAATTGTTCCTTCGCCATCCTATGTAGTGATAGCTCACTGTGGTGTTCATTTATATTTCTCTGATGGCTACGGGTGACAATTTTTCATGTGTTTACTTGTCATCCATTTGTCTTCTTTGATGAAGTGTCTGCTGAAATATTTTCCCCATTTTTAACTGTGTTGGTTGTTTCTTTACTCTTGAGCTTTAAGAATTCTTTGTATATTCTGATACAAGTCTTTGTTGAACATGTGGTTTGCAAATATTTTCTTTCCTCCCTGTCTGTAGCTTGTCTTCACTTTTTTAAACAGTCTCTTTCAAGGAGCAGAAGTTTTAAATTTTGATAACTCTAATTTATCATTTTATGGATTATACTTTGGTATCAAGTTTAAGAACCCTTTGCCAAAGGTTACAAGGATATTCTCCTGTTTTCTTCTAAAAGCTTTATAGTTTTATATTTTACATTAATATCTATGGTCTATTCAATTCAAGGTGTTCGTTTGTTTGTGAAACCAACTTTTTCATAATGGACAGTAAGCCTCCCTGACCTTTGCCCCACAGTGGGATGTTTTCTTTATTATATTGGACAGTAAACAAACCTTCCCTTAGCTCCACAGAGAGACACTATCTTTATCTTCCAAGTCTGATTACTATACAAACATCCCTGAAAAGATAGACACAGAGGCAGCCAGTGCCTGTGCTCACAAGATGTGCAGAAACGTGAGAGATCCACAGAGAACTGTCTCCCAACAACCATCTTCACAGCCATGTTGATCACTCTCAGGAAACATCTTTGAATTTTATCTTGTTAAATTGAAACTATTCTTTGTAAATCTTTCTTCCACTAAATATTCCCACCTTTATTTGCCCATTCTCCAATTCACAATTCGAGGATTTAAAAAAAAATGCCTGGGTATTTTTCCTTCATTATTTCTTCTGTTTATATTTTTAGAAGATTATATGATTGTTTCCCTGGAGATCTTTACTAGGTTGCTGGATACGAGATCATAATACAAAATCCAATCTATTCTTATACTATAATGAAAATCACTAGAAAATCTAGTAGGGAAAATTCCATCCACTTTATAAACAAAGATATAAGGTTATGGTGAGTTTGAAACGACTTTAAGACAAACATAAAGATGGACATAAGGCAGTTGGAGATTTGATTCTAAAAAAGAAAACAGGGTCAGATGTAGAGACATGGGTGGCACTTAACTAGAGAAGTTATATAATTACAATAGATGAGGACTGAAAATTAATAGAGAGAGAAGACAACCCAACATGGGAGAAAAAACAGGTTTAAGATTTGGGAGGAGGAAGAGAATGAATCAGAAGAAGAACAGATAGAACTATAAAAGGATTGACACATTAAACAAGTATTTAATGAGCACAGGAAAAAAATCTCTGCCCTTATATAGCTTACAATTGATGGAGAGAGTAGGGTAACAGGGGCCAACATAGAAAGGATTTCAAAAAGAACAAGTCAATAATGTCAGATGCTGCAGAATTAATGATGAGAACTGAGTAAGAGCAATAAGATTTGGCCAACCTAATGTTCAATAGCCCTAGAATTCCAATGAACATGTATTATTTTACAATCATTAATAAACAAATAAGTTATTGGGTTGTCAGAAAAGTCATGACATATTTTTTCTATGTTTTTCATTGCAAAAATGATTCATGACTTTTCCAACAACCCAATATTTCCATTTGGAATATAGACCATGTTTTCAACAAATGATTAGTTTTTAAAAAATGAAATTTAAATATTTATGCTATTTGAGAAAAGCCAATATATTCATAATTGTAAATAAACAATTCCTTAGCAAAGTTTCATGGTTTCATTATTAGCCATGTTACTCACGTTGCTTTAATTACTCACATACTAATTAACTAGGGTCTTAAGTAAATTTTTTCTAATAATCAGTGAAAATATCCTCCTTTCTGAAGGCCCTGTCCAAAGTTCTCTAGTTTTTAGGCTCTTTCTGGAGAAAAGTCAACGAATATGTTGAGAAATATATTTCTTATAACAACATAACAAGTATAGTGACAGAAGTGAATTGGGAAATTTCCATTTTATGTACGTGACCTTACTGTCATGAGGAACACAATCCTCATGCACTATGACATTTAGCTCAAGGGAGTAGATTCACAAAATGTCTACCATTATGTGTTTCTGGATTGCAGACACTTTTCTTCCTCTTTATTGTTGTGACAGTTCAGATAAATCAATATTCAGATCATCTAGCTTATGAAATCATGAAATGATAACAAGTTTAGTGGTTCTATTTCAAATTCATGTGTGCAGTCTCTTTGTAGCTTAATAATATTCTCCATCTTCATTTGAACTTTAAAGTTTTGCCCATATTATTTGAATGTCATATATAATCTGTTTATCTGGATTCCTATATTTTAATTCATTTATATAATTGAAATATGTTATCATTAATGCAAAATAGTTAATTGTGTTATAAGGTAACAGATGGATAAAATGAACATGTTCAGCACCAAGAACAATAGGCATTTTTTTCCCAAGAAGATGTAAGACTAGATGCAGAATTTACAAACTGTGTCCCTGAAAACCTAACTATATAACTCTAACTCCTCGCCCATGCTGAGGCTATAAAAGGGTCATGGGTTGAAAACAGCAGACACATTCTGGAGAGGATTTAATCAAAGAAAGCTGTAATGTGAGTACCAAGTCTCCTGACTCCTCTATAAAATGAAGGGATGAGGGGTGTCTGCCCCTCCCTCAAGCCAAGTGAGTGGAGCTTCAAGAGCATCAGAAGGGCTTTATATGTCCCCTGCAATACACTGGGGTATAATTCCTGCCTGAAACACAGAAAATCTGCCTAGCTGCTGATGGTGAGATTGCTGCTTTGAATAACATGCACTCGCAGTATTTATCAAGGCAATAAATGTGTATGTGTTTTCTGTGAATCATATATGGGCCACACACAACAGAGAGAGAGAGAGAGAGAGAGAGAGAGAGAGAGAGAGAGAGAGAGAGAGAGAGAGAGAGAGGTGACAATATGGAATGTGGGTTCATTTTAGATCCTTTTCAAGAGGCTACCAGAGAACAGTGACAAAACTTCAGCAGAGAGTATGTATCACTATAGCTGGCTGCCTAGGGCAGGGGTCGGCAAACTGCAGCTCGTGAGCCACATGCAGCTCTGTGGGTAGGTATATGTGACTCTGAAGTAAAATTGAAAATGAAAATAAAACTATCATAGTTTCATTTATAAAAATTTTAAAGGCTATTATTCATATAATGGTGATTTCATTTGTTTTATGGCTCTCGAATAATTTTTAAATTGTAGTGAGGGACAGGATTGGCTCTTCCATCTCAAAAGTTTGCCAACCCCTGGCCTAGGGGATGAGGAGGAATAAGTAATAAGGCAGAAGAGAGTTCAGGTGAGACACCCTCCAGAAAAGAATGAGTCAATTCAAATTCTCACTAAGCCTAGAGAGTGTAACACCAGCTTGCAATAGTATTAGTTAAGTAAGAACTTTCCTGCCCCACTTAGTTCTTTTTATTTCCTGTGCTCCAAACCTGAAGGGATGAGAAACTAGAGTTAGGAAGATGATGGAGCATCTGGAAGGAGGAGAAATTGATGTAGGAGAA